GGGCCCGCAGTCTCGCGCGCGAACGCTTAACATAATGGACCACTGAGTCGGCATCCAATGGTGTATATATCCGACCTCAACCAATCCACGAAGTTGTGCGATCATCTTCCATTGTACTGAGGTAGACACTAGTTTCCACCCGAAACGGATTAGCTTCACTGGCCACGACTTCTCACCAGAACTCCGAGAATTTTCTCACGAAGCTAGTCACTAGTGAGCACATAGTAATTATCAGTTTAAGGGTCCTACAATAGGATGAAACGGCCGTTCAGTGCTTCCAGGTGTTCAGTGGTTGTCTATCATTAGTCGGTTCATGATCTCAATAAAAAACTTAACAATCTTCACAACCCCTAAACTAAAAAGATAAGTGGTAGGACAATCAATATTGGAGAAAAAATTATTTTGTTAAAATATCCATCCAATTCACGCAATTTTTTCATCCGATTAAATCTATTCACATAAGAAAACTTACTTAGAATTTAGTTTAGCTCTTTGATAGACATGATAGATATGAAATTCATGAGAACTCACGTATAATCCCAGTACTTTTGTTCATATATATCTTAGAACCATTACTACTGTTTTAAGGAATCATGATGTAAGTTATGCTTAAGTTTTTAGAATAAGGTAATCTGTTGAAATAGTAAGCTAATTGATGAAGCTATGAATTTATATTGGCTTGAACAGATTATACTATTATAATTGGGAAGCAATATCGAGACATCCCTTCAGGATTCAGATAACCAAATGGAGACTGACGAATGTCAGTACCGTATATAAGCGACATAAAGATATAAATACTTGCTAATGCACATTCATTGTATGGTTTTTATAAGCATTGATATAATTCATTAAAATTATTCAGTTTTAACTTTATTTTAGCTATACTCATTTGAAGTATTGCAGCTTGGATTGTTACCAATGATATGATGGAAAGAAAAGTCAATTTTCGAATGATTAACTCATTATGAGTTTTGTTCAAGATTACTTCCGTTTTGATTCAATGTAATGATTACTCAATGTAGTACTTGTTCTGTTTTTGCATATGACATTTTCTCTGTATAATATACGATATTCTTGTATTCCATTGACATGAACTATTCTTAGTAAGTGATTTGTTATAATTCTAAGTATTTTTCATATATGTGATTTCATCCTAATTATTAATCAAAATGGGTGTACAATCAATATATAAATGAGTGTATTTTCTACTAGAGTCGTCGTCGTCGTGTTTTGGGGTTAATAAATCATCACTTATACCAGTCTTTGTGTTCGTACTTTCACGTTGTGGGAATTATAGAGGTCCCTCGTTCCGAGTATAAGTGATAAGCATTTCCGAAATAACAATCGGCGACGACCAGATACAAAAAGTAGCGTTAAAAGAGCCAAGACAATAAGCATTCAAACGACAAGTTATAACAAACAATTTGTGCCAGATTCTATTAAGTCTATAAAGAATTTTGGTGAAAGTTGTCAGAAAATTTGATTTCTTTAGGTGACATAGCTCTAGTTGAATTCAGTAAATATTTACAAATAATTATAAATGATAAATATAATGATACAATGAGTGCCTTATACTTGATACTGAACTTATTATTTAAATGTGCTATTCAAATTTCAAAGATGTGTATTTATTCAAAGTACGATTAAACATAAGTGGACGAGGATGAAAACAATATTTAAAGCTAAAAAGGCTAGATCATAGTTATTAACTGTATGCAAGTACTAGTTAGTTCCAGCTAAAACATCTCAGTATCTATTGAAATGATTTTAAGATTAAGGATAGTCATTCTCTATACTTAAATGTTTGATCTAAGTAATCCGTAGGTCGAACAATCTGATAATAATAATAATAATAATAATAATAATAATAATAATAAAAGACTGAACACATTTATGGTGCTGATCAGTAGTGGTCAAATGGAAAGTTCTATAATGCAGAACAGAACACCCATCTGTGAGTTACGTCAAAACATTTCTCATATATCCACCATGTAATTGTTGTATTTCTTTAATGAATTTGTCAAATAAATGAGAAAAGTTAGTCTTTATCTTGTAATATGGTGGTGTAATCCTCAATTTCCGCTATTTGTTCTAATAAGCTGTAGAGCTATTGCTATTGGAGATTCTTTATTAATAGTCATATTAACTGTTACTTATTTTATTGTCAATTGTACTTCTAAACCCGCCTAATCTTCCGTTTTTTTAATATCAAGGAGAGATTTTGTCTAACTTACTATATAACGGGACTAAAAGTTTTTAAGATTAGTTAAAAGTCACTTTTAGGATTAATTCATTCTTCTAAATTACTTAATATTACATACTGTTCTCTATTGCTTTTACTTGAACTTTAGAGACAATATTTTGCTTTGCTACATAGACTACTGAAGGAAATTAGTAGGCTAGATGGTGAATCTTTGAATGTTACCATAAATATTGTTGCGGATATACTTTTGAAATATTTTAAAGAACAGGTGTTATTCTATGAGATATAAACTATCCACTCTACTTATATATTTCGTTTATAGTTTTAAATAGTTAAACATAACTCTTTGTATTTTGATGACCTAAAGAAATGTGTAACTGAAAGCTTTCGATCTAATTTTTTTGCAGATGGTGTAACAGAAATTACCGATAAGGAAGTAATAGTTTAAGAAATAAAACCTATTATAATAAATATATAAATAATATTTACACATAAATTAATCAAGTAAATCAATGATAACTTCATAGTGTTTTTATGAACAAAAAATCTTATTTTTATTTACTCACTTGGGTGATTAAACAGTGAATAAGGGAAACTTACGTGGTATATTACAATGGTTACAATGCCATCTTATAAATATTGTATATTCAATCTATTATTCCTGTACACATTGATTCAACATTGATAAACATCAATTTGAAGCAAAGATCAATAATGATTATTATTTTATTCTATAGTTTCTTTCATATTTTATTTAGGGAGATTTCGTAGAGATCGGTTTAAGTCGTAGGTTGTATTTATTACAGATTGCTACCTTGATATGGTGATCAGGCTTGAATCAATCGAGCTATACTGACTGGAACAGTCGTTTCTCAAGGTCCTACAACGCCAGACAGGTTGGTTGAAGAGCGGTAAGACTAAAAGCAGGTAACACAAGGTCTGAGGGCGAAGTCGTACTGCTGAATGTACAGAGGTGTGACGGCAGTAACGTGTTTCCTTCAGACGACCAGCATGACAGCGATGCTGCCTTTCCACAAGGAGGAGTGGGGTTAGAAAAGGTCGACCCTAAAAATGCACGCATCGCCTTGTTCCACGGATATCCATCTCCGGCGGGAAGGTCTCAACATGTACGGAACTAACAGGAAAGTTACTCATAAAAAGGTCATGTGATACCGACCTCAAGCATTTGTACCTTGAGCACTGAGGTCACGCTTTCAGGTCACTAGAACCACCTCTAATCCAATCTCATTTTCAGGTGCCTCCAGGAGAACTCTTCCACGATGTGGGCAACCGGGAAGTGATAACCTCCTTCATACCTCTAACAGAACTCTCTGATTTTAGTTAAAGTATCATAGGAAACGAGGTAGCAATGAATGGCTGTTCCATTTCAGTTTGAGACTCCTGAGCAATGTGCATACACGAGCCTGCTACGGGGATTGAACCCAGGAGTCCTAAGTTAGAACGAATTGGCTGTCCAATGTACTAGGTTTTCATTAAAACTTTAATGTTTATTAACTGAAAGTTTTTAAAATAGAATTAGTCTTATTGCTCAAGTAAGCACTAGCAATGCTTTTTAATACAACAATCAAATCCATAAAGCCCAAACAGTACTCTTTTACCATGGCTATTAACTTAACCTACAAAATTTTCTTTATCATGAAAAAATTTTCAATTTATAAAAAAACAGATGAATCGACGAACATAAACACCGCTAAAAAGTATAAATAATAGCGATATCTGAGGTTTAAGAATGTTACAAATGATAATACAAAATAAAAGCCTCATTATGTTATAACTAATGCAATAATCAATATGTTATTATTCTTAAAGAGTGAATGAAGCAATTTACTTACCGCTTTCTTATTATGATGACAATAAATTTTAAATAAACAAATGAATGAATCCATTTTACGGCGCTATCTAACTCATTAAAATATATACATTCTAAAAACTATTCCAACAACAACAACAACAACAACAACAAAAACAGAACTATAGTAACATGATAATAAAAAGACTTGATTTATTTCAGTGATATGCATCAGTTGCTCACAGCTTAAATACAGTAGTAATAACTATTTAGAAAAAATGAGGATGCATACATACTTCATATTATGTTTACTGAAGCAGGTAGATTATAGTTAGATAGATTATTGGGAAAAGGTAAATGTTTTAAAAAATTATAAAGGATTCTAGCTGACATTTTCATAGATGTCGGCTTTCATTAATCTAATTATATTTTATTATTGAGTTCGGTTAATGCTTCTCTGTAAACCTGGTGTAATGATTGTTGTTGGGGTGATCCAGAAGATTGCTTGCAAAAGACAATCAAGCATCAGGAAATACTAAGAGGCCTTTCATTCAATCAGCGTTCACTTGGAGTCTTGGCCAAAAATATCAAGGAAGCGAAACCTCACATTCAGAGGCTCTGATTGGTTGGCTGCTACACTGCTAATATGTTTAGTAGCATTCCAGAATCTTCTAGCAACCCAAGGACATTAAATATTATAAAGAACCCTGTATTTTCTGTATTAAAATGAACCTTGGAGAAAAACTACTTCTCGCATATTTTGAGTCTTCGCTTTCGTGTTCAGGTCGCTGTCTAGTTCTAGCTTGGGGGTTACAGAATATCTTAGGAGACGAATATAGCGTTCAATCCGCAAGACTTATCAATTGTACATATACACTTTTTCATATATATATATATATATATATATATATATATATATATATATATATATATATATATGTAGTGAATACGATTGTATTTAAGCTGTAAGCAACTGAAGAGTAATTCTGAAATGAATAAATTATCATTTATATTCTACTACAGTTGTTATTCTTGTTTCATTGAAATTTATAAACAAATAAATAAATAGATAAAAAAAACTGGGAGAACATTGAAATTCCCTTCATGATGAAGATATATATATATATATAAATTAGTATTTGATAAATCTAAAAATAAATTGAAACGTTACAACAAATGTAACTCAACCAGTTGAATAGAAATTTTATATTACAAGTCATTTACAATTTGATCGATTTTGTAAAAATAAATTCTCATTGGACATTGAAAGTAAATTCACTAAAATTCAACTTTAAAAAGAAATCCTTCTATGCATTAAACAATATTCAAATAGACCAATAATAATGATAATAATAAATTGAATAATCTTTAATAATAATCATTACATTTTATTGATCAATTGATATTTATGATGTCAATTATAGACATCCTTATTGATTCACCTTCTCAACATTTTGCTTACAATTATTCAATTCTTTATGATATTGTTTCATTAATTCAAGTACATTCGTTGTAGAATACGTATCAGTTGTCTTGAAACTAGAAAATGATGATGGTCTAGAAACACATTTGTTAATATTACTAATACTACTACAAGATGTTGTGATAGAATTTCCAGGCAAATTATTAAGTGAATGAATTGTTGATAAATTCATTTGTTCATATTCCTTTTCTTTTTTAGATGCATTCAAATTATTATTCACTATTTCATTTGAATTATATACTGGATAAAATGATAACCATGGATCAATTAGAAGTTGATTAGCGGTTAAACGATAAGCTGGATCAACAGTTAATAAACGTATTAAACATTCTTTACATAATGATGTTATATAATTGCCTAATTTTTCTATTATCTTTTGTATATTAGGTTGATTTAATTCATTGATTAACTGTTTTTCATTTTGTGAATTAAATGGTGTTTGATTTGTTAATAATATAAAGATAATGACACCTAAACTCCATAAGTCACATTGACGTGTATATGATCGTCCATTCAATACTTCCGGTGCCATGTACAATAGTGTACCACATGGATTAGCTAATACTTCTTCACTTTTGCGTACTTCTATGGCTAAGCCAAAATCAATTAATTTCGTTTGTAATTCTTTAGGTGGATATTTATTTTCAACATTTATACAATAATTATCACCAAGTTGAAATGATGGGATTCTAGGTTGGATGTCTGAATTGTGATTTGTTTTTGTATTACATTCTAATAATGTAGAATCATGTCTACAGCAAACAGGCAATGGTTTTGTGCTTGAATTTACTGATTTATTTCGAGTAAATACAGATGAACATATTGTTTCAGTTGTTATTGTTTTCGTCGTTGTTATTTCTGATCGTGTACCACTGTGACTGGAACACGAGTCATTATGCACCTCGATGTGTTCATTTTCAGGTTTTTGATGCTTAATAAGAGAATCGAAAGAAATTATTCTACTGTCCGATGAATATTTAAAATTTGACTTAAAGTTCACCGGAGGTATAGTACGAAAATCTAATTCTACTTTGTTTAATAACATAATATTTCCAGGTTTTAAATCTCTATGTACAATACCTCGATTATGCAAATAAGATAAAGCTGAAGCTATTTGCTTTACAATAGCTACCACAATATATTCTTGTAGCCCAGTATTTTCTGGTAGTTGTTTCATATAATGATCTAGTGAATTGCCTTCACATAATTCAGTTATGAGGAAGATAACTTTTGGTGATTCAGCAACAGATAAAAGTTTTATAATTCCAGGATGTTTAACATGTCTTAATATAGATATTTCACGATCTAAACGAGCACGCTCGCTTGCAGAGAAGGAGTTTATGCGTGAAATCTACAATGACAATAAGAAAAAGGAATTGAAGATATTACGTTAAAGATATGAAGCCAATTTTAATCTAAAAAAGACATTGTTTCTAAAGGGATGTGGCGGTTTTTTCTTAAACAAAAGTGCTACTACGTGGTAGTAGTAAGTGGTAATAAAAATGACGTTACACGTATTTGTCATCTGTAAACTGTTGCTAGTTTGACACACATGACTTAAAGTGACTAATCAAACGCCTTCAATATCTCCCAATGAGATCGGATCTCATATCTATTAGGAAGCAAAAGCTATAAAGATTCGAGCGGACAACCCTTGATTTTTCCGTTCTAAAGAAGCTTATTATACCTTTGTCTTTCGTACGGCTAAAGGAAAACTGACGGACACTCTCATCAATGCTGTCTACCCTATTTTTGATTTCCTCTGTTCACTTCCTTTATATCTCTGTTTTTACTTCCGACATACGTAAAATGATTAACCACTCATACATTTCATATAAAATAATTTATCAAAGTCAATTTTAGCAAGTTTAATTCTGATCCCATTACCAAAATATTTGTTCATATTATTTATTATAATTATCATGACTACCACACCTGCCATCTCATTATTACTTTATATTTGTGACTTAATATGATCAGTTAAGTAATATATTTGTTTCATAGACTGACAAAGTGCGTTGATTGATTTAGTATTTCGCATATACATGGAAATATTACTGCATATTAGAAAGTAAAGAATGATAATTTAGTTGGAAACAATAGTGTTTGCTTATATTATATTGTTTTGATTTATATGATGTGACATATTAAATAATTGTTTTTTTAATTATCTGAGATTAAGAGATAAATTTTGATTAATACACCACTCACAAATTAACCTGTGTGAGAGACTTGGAACAGTTTCATGAATATTGGACTTAAAAGTTTTATTTGTTGAGTGATTACAAAACTCTACAATTTTCACTAACATTTTCCCTAAAATGGATTCAGTTCTTAATAATAATAGTAATAGAGTAAAACAGTAATTGAAGGATTACATTAAATGAGAAAACGACTATGTATGTAAGTTTGAAGGTCGAGTTTTTGATACAATAGGTTGTTATGGATTTAAGAATACCAATGTATTTATGCATTTAAAAAATAAAGCAGTCACCTGATGATATCTCATTTTGACTGAGACCGAAATAAGCATACTTGGCACGGTATGGCAGTGGAGATTACTCATCCTAAAGATGATTTATGCCGTAAACTGACTTGAATTTAGGTAGTAGATGTAGTCTGCTGAAAAGTTATATACTATGATTGGACAGATGTCCAGCGTGCTCGTCAGTTTTAAATACTTATCTAGTTGAGGTGAGTCGAATGAAGTAAACTGCTTCTTAAGTGATAAAATTTCGGTATAATATAAAGTATTTGACCTACTTTTACTCATTAAGAAAAAATCGGGTTCCGCGCTAAATATAACTGATTGACTGAAGTTGTAAAAACGTACTAAGCAAACAAACTCCAAATGACTATCACGTGACAAGTTTGTTCAAAATAACTTCTCACTGACATCGTGTACAGAAAAAACACTACATAATAATTAGGTCAGTTATATGCGTAGTCATAGCAAGCGGTTATATTCATAATCAAACAAATGGAGCAAATGACCAAAGTTATGAGATTTCTTTTAGGTAAACTTGTCACCATAGGTAATAATTAATGAATAAAAGCACACATGTTCACACTAAACTGAAAATAAACTAATTATACTTGCAAATCAGATATATAACACCGAATCACCGTTAAATAGGGATATGTAATCGAATCAATACGCATTCCCACACAAATCAGTGGTGTGTTGATTATTCTGAAGTCTAAATTATAAACGTTATAACAAACCGCCATAAGTTTTACTTGTTTAGTTAACAAATAAATGAATCAAGTCGTGAGTAGTAATCATGACTGTTAATATTACTGTATGCCAAAATGGTGAATTTGCTTGACAATAGAAAAGTATTTGATGACGTATAATATTGATTTAGTCACTATCAACACAAAGCCTGAAATAGATATAAGTTGACTTCAGTCCCCGTAAGTCATTAGGACTAGATAAAGTCAACAAAATACAAAACAAAAGGAAAATAAAAAACAGCAGTAACGACAATGAAGGAGATTAAGCAATAATAGTAGGGTTTAAAAGGACGAAATGGAAAGGTGTACACAAAAGAATGTTGGAATTCAAAATCTAGAAGAACTAGAGTGAGTCTTTCGGCACTGCTGAGAAAGACTTTTAGTTATTACATTTAAAGTCTTCGGTCAAGTCTTAGTGCATTTTTCTAAGCTGTTTAAACTTTTGAAAAGTATTGACAGAAGTATAAACTGCATTGTTTGTCCATTTTAAGAAATCTCCATTAATAGACCATTCCACATTAGTGTTACACAAATTCAATTAAAATAGTCGATGATATGTACATTCAGCTAGTAGTAGTTTATTTAATGTTTAAAAGTGGAGCTGGCAATTAATAAGTTTTTTTTATTAGATCTCATTATACATATCTCATAAACTATTTTAATCACTCTAGAAAAAACAAAGGAGATAAACAAAAAAATGTCATATGCTGGGGATAAGATACTAGGTTTTACATTAATGTATACTATAATCTGCAACAGACAACCACCTTTAACTAGACAATTTGCCAGTTATATATCATAATGTTACTTATTCAAGTGGAAGTTAGATAAAATCAGAATACTGAGTGTTGACAAGTTCTGAAACTATCTATCCAACTAACATTCATTCTCTAAAATAGCCTTCAAGAGACAAACCAGAAAAATATACTTAGTTGAAAAATAAGATGAATACTTAGTAACTTTATGAGCCACCAGTGGTTGGGTGATGCAATTTAACTCACAAAGTCGTCCAAATTCGAAAGACTTCTCCTTACAAGTAGTCAGAAGGTCGGTTTCATTATAATGAAACTTGGTAATATTTGATATTGAGCGGTGTAAATTTTATATCAAGCCTAAAATTCATATTGTTTACTAGGTAGTTTTACTAATAGTGAAAAATTTATGGTGCTATCACAGTGACGGTTGCACAGTTCCCATTTGATGGAAATTGCCTTCACTTGTATGCAAAAAACTGAAACTTATCATATTTTTTATTATCTCACCCGCTTAAATGGTATAAGACAAACAAGTCACCCAAAGTGGTGGTAATTTGGAAAATCGGAGCCATTTGGAGCGAGTTTTCCTAATAGCACTGTGAAAAAGTTTAAATTTCACCCCTGATTCACATAGGACTAACCGGGTGCAAGCAACAAACGAGAGTTTATACAAAATTCTATAGGTAACAAAGGATTATCGTCAAAAACTCTTATGTCTTTCTGTAAAGAGAATTTGTTTGACATCATATGGTAAAAGATCTTCATACTACATTGTATCTTTTTATTAACAGTTGGTGCTTACATATCGTATCTGCCTTTATTACAGGACAACTTATTTTTATGAAAAATCATCCGTAAACATGAAATAAAAATCAAGCAATTGATAATTATAGGTCCAGCGGTATTGTAAGTTTGATTTAATAAAGTATTTCGATGCGGCGCTTTGTGTTGTAATAGTTGTTTTATTCACATATGTATCAAATAAGTTTCGGTGTTGATTTATAGATTGATATAAAGACGTGGTCACACTGCAAATTAAAATAATAGATACAATTTTGTGAAAATTCCAAGGTTATATAGATTTTTGTGGAAGTATATAAATCGTAATATATCATTGATTAAAATAGCACCACCTTAAAAAACAAGCATATGAAATATGCTAGCTTCTTATCACGCGAAAGTAAACTTTTAAATGACAGACGAAATTTGTTTACCTTATTTGATCGTATGTGTGGCTTAATATGGTCACATCTAGCTCAGGATAGTTGTTGACAGTTATGCTTTACAAATGAGTGATTAATGAATTGTCACACGAAACGCCTAAAAACTAGAATTACCTATCTACTCTTTGAAATTCAGGTGTCATGTGATGTCAAGTATTAGTGCAAGGAAGACTAGTAATATCTTGCAATTCATCAAAAACACATGTATATATATGTGACGATAAACAATACGTCTAGCTCCTAGCCGTACTTACTTTCTTAATTGCACAGTTCACACCATCAGTTTTTCTTGAAGCATGATAAACAATGCCAAATGTACCTTCGCCGATGACTGGACCTATGTCATATTCATCTTTTAGCTGCGAAGGGGAATTAATACGAACATATGCAAAACCGTTCTTCTTCGAACTTGTGCTACATGAAATTTCTTGTTCTATTTCATCCCCTGATGTGCTGCTTCTATTTTTCATTAAATCGATTCATCAAACAGCTTCCATAAGCTAAACATGTTAGGACAATGCACCGAATATTTTAAATAATTGCCAAAATTGTAAGGATGTATTATTGAAAGTAAAATAATAAATGTTAGTAAAATAAAATATTAAACATATTCTTAAATAAACAAACAAATACAATTTTGTTTAGAACAATAATGTCGTAGCAACCATTGTCAAACTTTTGATTTTGCTATTTGTTTTCGCTTTCAGTTTCACGACTCAGACTTGCCGAGTTTTTGTACCTTTTTTGTACTGTCATAAGAAAATTATCATTTTGATAAAATATTTTCATGGAGATAGACGAACAAAATCATGGAAAACATTCTACCGAACAGAAAGATGAAAATACTGTCATTCCTAGTACTGCCGTTGTTGTGGATCAGAGTGACAGTACAAACTTCGCCAACACAATGAAAGATAGTTCTATAAGCAAGTAACAGTCGCAGTTGGCAGGCAATTCGCATATAAAAAGATGCAAAAGGCTTTTGTCAGCAAAAGGTATTGCTGTTGTAGTAAACTTTTTCTGAAATATAGATCACTGGTATACTGACCCAGATCAATTAGAATACTTAAATGATTGCAGGTTACGCGGAGCTTTGCCATCAGGATACTTTATTCGCCATCTGAAGGACGAAAGCATAAGCTTGAAATATAGCGTTTTAGGACTTAAAAAACTCAAGCCAATTTTTTCCAGCATTTCAAACAGTTTGAACATAACTCAATTGGATCTTACGAACACCTGTCTTAACGATGAGGTAATAATTCTGCACACGCATGTTTAACGCAGGTTTGATGCATGGAAATGGTTTTTACGTCAAGTTCAGTTGGTATTTTTTAAATATTTTCTCATAACTTTTGTTTCAATTGAGCTCACAGGCCTTGTAACAGAATATCACAACAATTATACCGTATCCAAGGAACTTCAAAAAAGCAGTACCGAGACGTGTGCAACGATTTATAAGTAGTTGGATAGCTTGTTTGCAAACCATTTAGCTTTGTCCGTTTAAGAAACTCGCTATTGCAAAATGGTTCAAGCGGTTGTAGACGAAATAGAAGAAGCTTTTGCTTAACGGGCTTCCACGTCTAGTAGCAGTGTATCACCAATACATCCATGCAGAATCTTAGGTGTATTAACGATAATAAAAAAAGAAATTGCTAAATCATAGTAAGATATTATCCATAGTCCTTAAAAATAGGTCGAGTTTCCTCTTAATGGAATTCTGGGAGGTCACTTAAAATAGCTCAGCCGGCAGCGAATTTCAGCGTTTGACAACTATTAAGGAGATATTGTGTCTTCAGTCCGTTCTGCTATGTTTTGTCGCTAAATTCTGGGTGTTACCCCTTAGGCTTGTGTTGGAGCTAAACTAAAAGAGGGTTTTTAAAGGGATGTCCAGAAGTGTCAAGCATACTGTAAACCGTTAGGTCACCTCTAAGATGCCTATACTCTAATGAGTAAAGGTTAAGTGATTGAAGGCGCTCTTTGTAAGGCTTGAATTTGAGTCAACGGACCGATTCCGTGGCTCGCAGTTGGATATGCTCTAGAGTGTCCTTATCCTTTTGAAGTGAAGTGGGAAATACTATGTTTCCATGCTTTAAATGGGAACGAATAAATCTGCTGAAGATTATGTAGAAAGTTCTTCCGTCAAACTGGCCAAAAATGAGCTTCAATGTTACCAGTGCAAGGTTTGTTCGAAAAGCATTTTTGTCACAGTTAGCTTAAGACTTCAAATTGTAGTGTACCACCACTCTTAAATACTTTTCAACTTGGGATACTTCTACAGGGTAGTTTCTCAAGTTGTAAATGTAGTCTGTAACATGTCTCAGATGGACTACTTTACACTTTGAAGTGTTACAGTTAGGTCCGTTGTCATCTGCCCACGGACTTACTCATATGTTACAAATTCTGAACTCACTACTTCCGTTTTCAGCCTGCGGTTTTCTCAGTGTTGTTTTTGTAAGGTGAAAAGGACTCTGGCGCTCCAAATGTAGGGAATTTCCGCCGTAATTCTTCGTTAGATTTATAAGGATAACTATTTTACCATTTTAGTCCTGAGAATGACATACAAGCTAGATAGTCAGTAATATTTTTACTAACAACCATTGTTAAGTATGTTGTGTGTGACTTATTTTCAGCTTTCATATCTTAAATCTGTTCTTATATTTATTTGGATTTGAACTCGAGTTTATCTTATATAAAGCCATGAAATGTTTCGCATATATATTCAGTCCTTTGTGATGAAAAACTCTGTACCAAAAAGCATTGTGACAACTTTCACACCAGTAACGTCTAAGTACTGAATGCTATATTACTCAACTTGATGTATCTAAAACGTCCACAAGGTTAGTAGTTCACACAGGTATAAATGCAATGGCTGACTTAGGCAGTTTACTCATTTTAAGTAACCAGAGGAGCAAATGTAATATTTTACGTGCAAATATTAACAAATTGGTTGATTTAAAAGAATCGAATACTTCCTATTTTGTGAAAATTTTGACTCTATTGACCAAGGAGTTTCTTGGAAGTGTTTTCATTTGAAAGGCCTACCAAATCAATTAATAAACATTATGTAGGATCTCCACCTTGATGCTTTTGGTTAAGTCAGAGCCCATGCCAGCTGTTTCCAAAAAATTCAACCTTAAGTGGCGTTTGCTACAGTTGCGTGCTATCCAATTTTTTAGTTCATTGACATCTTACTGAAAAATAACTTTCTTTGCCCAGTTTTTCAAAGTTTTCTAACCCGCCCAGAAGTCTACTCATAGAATAAGAATACTCTGGTGATATAATTCTGTTTGGTCAGGAAGCTAAAAAGAATGCATATGTTTGGGATCGCTTTGAGCAACAGTACTGTCATGCTTAAGATGTTTTCCTTTGTATCTACATGTAAACGTTTGCTTCATATCTGGTCTTCACCAACCCTTTAACTAAGGATCAGGAGCAAAATAATTTGGTGAGTCGACCGCTTCGCTTATTTTGGAGGTCTGATCAGCGTAAGAGAGTTAGCTTCTGTGGAATTTTGACACAAAACAAAAACCTGTTGCTGCTTGTTAACTTGAATTATCCATTAAGTCAGTGAGAAATCTGCTTTTCAACCGAATGACGAGTTTACTGCTCAGTAGTTCATTCAGTTTTACTTAATGGGTTTGAAACATGGTTATTTAGAGCAATGGACATTTGTAGGTCACTAGTATTTGACCACAGGTTTTTCTGAAGCCTTCCTCATGTAATTCAGGGCCACCAAATAAGAAATCCTTGGGTTTCGAATATATTGATAATGTGGTTTCTAGTATAGGAGAGAGTAGACGAAAGCTAGGAGCAGCCAAACGAAAAAGGTGACATCAGTCGATTAAGACCATAACTGTTGATGTGAGCAACGTTGACAAATACAAACAACTTGATTGAAATGTGCGCAATGACCGTGGTCAGTGGTTGGAAACTGTAATTGACATAATCACCGGTCGTTCATAATGGTGAAGATGCACTCGCTGTTTGTTATCATAATTTTCAATCTCCATATTCGCTTATGCATACGTTTCAACTCGGTCTTTTCAAATCATATTTCCAGCGGTCGGTCTTTCATCTTATCATCACTACTGCATTAGTTCGACCATATTCGCTATTTTAATCTCGTCATGCTAATCTGGATTGACAAATTAAGCCACTGGTAATCACAAAATGAATAGAAACTAAATATATTTGAAGGACCTCGATCAGGTAACTCATGCTTCCCCACCCGGCACTAATGTATAGAATCTGTCCTCCCGTGGTAATGACTCAACATTGTCTGAACACTTCTTACTCTTTGGTAGCCATCATTTTACGTTGACTCATTTATTTATTTTGAAAATGCCCATTGCACTACTGGTTTGGTTCCCAACTAAATCTCAGGGACGATGCAATGGGCTCACTTGAATTTAAACAACTTTTGAGACCTGTAGTGTAGTCAAAGTTTCGTCTTTTAACCAATGTAAGGATAAATTTAAAGGTGGTCCTCTCATAATTACTCTTTGACTATGGATTCTAGCTTATAAAATTAGGAGATATAGGTGTGCTCTGCGTGGTTAGTCAAAGATGGTCATTTATGGTCGAACCATAAGGTCAGTATTGTTGATTTAAGAGTGCTGTGTAGAGAGGGAATTTTGACTGATGAAATTAAAAGAATAAGCTAAGTAGATAGATTTAAATATTTTTCGGAAAATAACCCTGTACGTTAGTCAGCTGTCAATTAGGTAGGCAATATTTGAGTTGCAGTCCTCGGATCGTTCATCATTTAATCGTTTCTCAGTTATTAAGGCAAATTTGGAGTGTAAGTTAGGAACTATCTTTTCCCAACTTCTGGTTCGGATGATAAGTTAATACATTTCTCATGAGAATGTGACTTCACATCCAGATAAATTTTGACTTTTTTAATAGCTACACCCTATTAAGTTCACTTTTATTGTTATCTGAAATCAGAGTCACCAATTCACACTCTTCATGCTACATACATTACAAACGATGATCAGTATAAAGACTTGTAGATTTAAATAGAATTTAAAAATATTGAGTTAACCGTTGCGTGTACAGTCGTTATTTCTTCGAGACTGTTGATCACTTAATAGAATAGATAGACACTGTGGGCACCATTTTTCGCTATAGTCTTTATTGAATATACTCGAGCCATTGAAATCTGTTTGTTTTGCTTGCTGTCGTCAGGTCTTATGACAAAATTTAGATATACATTATTATTTTCAAGTTGGTGAACTAAACGTTATTCGAGTGGATAATTTTCTTGGAAAATATTCGATTTGGCTTTAAATCATTTATTTTAAAAGTTTTTTGTAAATATTATTTATTATTAACAAAAGATGTTTTAGCTAATAAGTTTAACTAACATTTTAGTAAATTCCTATGGGCCTGCAAAAGATGAGTGCAACACATAACAGACTTGGTTCTTTTTAACTCAGGCAATCTGAGTCATCACATCATGCTACGTAGCCTGTCTAATACCTATTTTTACAATAACTGGTTTTTTAAACAGACGCTGTCTTAGGCATTATTTTCTGAAGTAGTTTTTTACTAATTACACCAATCTGTATTCTTTTGAAAATCACTTATTCAAACTGTATGACATACTCGCTTTCATTTTTTCACATACACTATCATCACATACTGAAGGTTCAGTAACAAATTCAAAACGTTTTAAACAAAAGCAGTTCATTCTAGACTGATTATTAATTACAACAGATAAATTACAGGACTTGTTTCACAACTACTTGTGTATATGTAAATGGCATACATTTTTATGCTTGCAAGGTTTATGAAAATTTAAATGAAATACGAATATACATATATTCCATAGTTTTTAGTTCATGTTTTGCCACCATAATGTTTTAATGACCGATTAGAATTAAGAATTTTATATTTAAGCGGTACAGCTAAGTTCCGTTTTAGAAGTAAAAATATCAGTTGAGAAAAGTTCTTTTAAATATTGCTACCTAATCCCCGTATGCGCTTGAGTTGAATACAGTAGCAAAATGAAATCTACTTTCATTTTGGTATATGCACTATTTCTCACGAGCAGTTCCAGGCGTTTAATCTTAAAATATGTTTTTATATCGTCTTCTTTGATTCAGTACAATCGTTATCAGTCATGATGTGATGAATGCTAGATAGTTTGAAGTAATTTAAGATAAATGTTTGGGATGCTGATCCATAAAAAGAAGGCAATGACACAATATGACAGAGGGATAACTGTTGATGGTAATAAAATACTAATCAAATGTCACAAACCAACTAACGCTAACTAAAGCTACGACTACTGGCCAGATGATTTGGTCTTTTATCTAGTAAAATAACGAATCAATGATTAGTGTATTCACTAGAAAATGCACATACTTAGATGTTAAAAACGATTGAACGATATTATTAATGGGAACCATCAACATTCAAACTAAGATCTGACTATTAAGCTTTATTTTATCCATCACATCATTTTGAATTACTAACCAGTTAATTTTTAATACTACTTTGTTCTTTTTAGTTATTGCCGATTCCAGTGATTAGCATTTATTATCTTGTATTGCTGTGTTAATTTTCAGTGTATTAATCATTTATGTCATATGCTTCGAGAGAATACTTTTATAACTAATCTAAATTTATCCGAAAATCACCTAACTTCTAAATCAGCTGAGTACCTTTGTGAAACACTCGCGTTATCAACAGAACTCTTGCAACTAAATTTAAGGAAAAATTTATTCGATGACATTTCGGGAAAATTTTTTTCAGAATTGATTACGGTAAGTAAATATTCATATTCAACTGAATAACATAATTATTAACTTTTTTGATAAAATCATTCAATCTGTTATTTGTGGTTAAAGGAATGATGTGATAATTTACTATATTTAGTGCCATTTGATTAAGTAAGCTCAAAAAGAACCTTCAAATCTAATCATAAAATTCTATTTCCTGATAAGGCAGTTGTAGGACTTTGTAATATTCGAGTTGGTATCTTTTAACATTTTACTTTGAACTACTGATTTCAAGCTAATCCGAATTAACTTTTTGGATATGACTAGATTTGATTCCTGAATATTTTAAATTTATTAAAATCATTTTTAAAAATTACAGGTGTTGGAAAATTCAAACTTTAACTCGGTGTTAAGTAAAAATACCATAAATCGACTGAAATTATACATTAACACACCTGGATGCAGGCTCACTGATCTAGAGGTTAAGTGTTTGCCAGCAAGATCGAAGGTTTTGGAGTCTTTACCCGGATGAAGGTTGTGAATTTGCACTGCCGGGGGTCCTGTTCTAGGATGGGACTACAGTCCTTTGCTTTCAGGCTTTCAGTGGTGGTCCAGCTAAAGTCAGTTATTGGCTTAAACTACGAAGATTTCACAAATTAAAATATGCTTATATGAAAACTAGTCAGTGCCAAATTTATGTATTTGATGTATTATCATTTTAAAGTTGATCGATCACTGGATGGTGTGTCAGGTACGAAACGTAACATAGGCCCAGGGTTTCCTGTCGACTGCCTCCAACCACCATCTTGTGTATTAGCATAGACAAACAAAAAGTAACAGTATCTGTTAAGACCAGTAATGAAGCCATTCAAGTAAACATATTTTATGTATGGTAATATACCATCTTCGTTTTGTTATATTACTGATCACTAAATAGTAGTCTGCACAAATAATGAGCGAAATTGGAAATACCTGGTTGCGGCTACATTAGGAATTAATGTTTTATGGATTACTGGTTCTTTGTGGTAGTGTCTTGTTTCTCTGCACTCATTGTTCATTGCATTTTACTCTTATTATGTAAATAAAATATTGACGTGTAAAAAACATACAGTTAGTCACGCTCCTTGTTTAATTTCGATTCTTAATGACTGCCACTGATGAACGTAAAAATTAGTAGGCTGTGATAAAGTTTGATTTATTTGAGTAAGAAAGACAAATAGCTTTGACAATTTTGTCCTTATCTTGGTTCAATGGATCTATGGGCGTTCCGTGATGAAAAAATATGACTTTAGTAACTTAAACTTATGTTTTACACTTAACATTAAGAACATGAAACTTTATTGTACTTTTTATAAGACTGTATTAAAATTGATTTTAGACTACACGAAAATTGAAGTATATGAATATTTCTTATAATGATTTGGGTGAATTATCTTGTCAATATATTGGAAAAGCCTTGCCACAAGCGACAACGTTAACAGAATTCGATTTAAGTTGGAATAGATTGGGAAGGGGGAAAATGAATATTTTTGGTAAAGGTCTAGCTGTAAGTTCACTTTATTTTGCTGTTTAATTTTTATTTGTTGTCATTTCAAGTCGTGATCAGTACAGTTGGATGAAATAATCTCAATTTAATTGTTCTAAGGACATTTTCCATTCTGCAACTCTTTTTTGTTGTCAATTCATATAGAATTTCCGTCGAACGACTGTTTTTGATTATTTGTGTATTTATTCTTCCTTACAAACACTTCTAAGATTAAAAGAACTAAGGATATCTCATTTTCTGCAAGATCTTTGATACCATATTTAAATAATGTGTAAGCTGGAGATTCCATGTTAAGTAACTGAGAGGACACTGTAGGATATCATGGTCCTAGCATTTTGACACGGCAGGAACCAAGGTGACCCCAATAACTCAGGGCTGAATTTTATTACTATGACGCAGAGTGATATAGGTTTGAATTTAACGATAAACACCAGCTCCTTTTAAACTACTTATACGCCGTACTGACAAGTTCCAACATGTAGGAAGCCTTAGTTTTAGACTTTCTACTGACTGCCATAAACCACCAAATATTATCACCTTGTGCATTTGCTATTGAAACAAAGACAACTAGCCGTATCGCGATCTGATCTATAAAATTTTGTTAACACTAGAGATTAGATTGGTCTGACAATGGTCATTTTACAGTAATAAGTTAATTCAGGTGTTCAATGGTCGATATTTTTGAACATCTGTGAGTTCAGGAAACAGTACACTTGATTATTTTATCTAATGAACAAAATAAAACGGACAATTTTTGTAAACAGTTTTTGGTTTCTAGTTGGAATAGTTGATCAAATGATGAGATAAGCATAAATTATGTAACTGATGCCCTCCATCTGTCTTTCCAACGTTTCACTTCTGTAACTAACAGAATTAATATTGCTATCGATAAAATGAAATGTTATATATATACTATTTGCAACTCGACCAGATGACTGAATTTGCCCTGGTAGTAGATGCCTCTATGAGATTCAGATGTAGTCGTTCATGTCTAACCTGAAGATGTGTTGTATGAAAGGAGAACATGGAAGAAAACTTGGCAGAGAAAGCGACAGGAGAAAAAAATGAGCCGGCTACCTACTCAACTCATAAAACGGACTTGAATTTATTAATGAAAGCAGTCAAAATCAATTAAAAATAAAACAAGTGTAGGATCAGGACAATTTAGAAATCGAAACTGAAAGTTTGTATTATATACATATGCTTAACTATCTGTGAAAATTAATTATGAAATTGACCGTAACTTTCAAACTACCTGATCTTATGGATAAATAAGATTTACTTGCGATCAATAAAAATTCGCTTGTCATATTATTTACTTTTTCAATAGAAACTTGTACTGATAACTTCGTTTAGAAATCGAGTTATTAAAAACGTTCAAAGTCACCCTCTATAAAATTTAAAATTATTCATTATATCATTCTTATTTTGAAGAGAACTGAATAGCCAACTTATATTTGACGCTTTGAAGCAATCACTGTTGTAGGTCGATAAAATACTGATATGGCTATTTGGTAATATCCTGCAAAAACAACAAATTATCTTGCTATTATATAACGAGACGAAGTCTGATACTGTACAACATGTGGAAGAAGGCATGACTAGGGATAAGAATTTACTTATGCCCCAAACATAAGTCCACAAATAATCATCCACTGATTAAAAACCTTGACAAAAGTACATTGAATTATGTATGATTTTCATATCGGGTCAACATACAAATTCGAATGTATTGGACAAGGTAATAGTTGATGTGCAATAATTAATAACTGAATGTGTGCACGCTATTCATACCGTTACCAGATTTAGTTGTATCAGCTGATAAAACATTAAATTACTGAGTCGTGTACTCACGTTTTCCTAACAGTTGCAATCAATACTTCTTTTCATGATGTGACTCGACCTTCATTATAAGCTATGAGAGAATTTCAGTGGTAACCTGAGTGATTAACTAACAGACCGAGTCAGTTTTTATTATTATAACACTATAATTATTTCCTATTGTTTCTAAATGATTAACAGTTTTTTTTTATCGATGTGAAGACTAATATGCACTGTCTTAAACTCTGGTTCAACGTTGTGTCTTAGAAAAACATATCAGTTAGTTAGCGGTGAATAAGAATTTTGTGTTTTCTCGAGCAACATACATAGAATTTCTTCTCATATTCTTTGTATTAATCTTAGGAATGCAGTTACATATTCTCCTAAGTAATAAGTTATTAATTTTTAAAATAGTTCGGTAAACATTCAATTGGTATTGTTTCGCTTGTGTCTTCCGATTGATGTTTAAGACTGCAATTGATCAGTCTCTTATTGACATATGTGCATACTATGCGTATGTCTCAATATTGCCTTAATTCACAAGCTTTTTGTAAGCAATGATGGATAGTGGCTAGCAGTGCAATCCAGGACGTGCGTTTCGTCCTATTTGGGACTCGTCAGCTGGATGTACTTGCATTTCAGAGTTGATGTTCACTGTGGGACTCGATCCCAGTTACCATTCACTTCAAACGCCATCGCGTTATCCACTCAGCTACTGAATCCTGATAGCCAGTTGCTTGCGCGATGGGGTGAATTTAAATTTACTTGGTATTGCGAATAGTACTGGGTTCGAGTCTCCGAGTGAACATCAACTCTGAAATGCAGGTACATCCAGCTGACGAGTCCGAAATAGGACGAAACGCGCGTCCTGGATTCCACTGCTAGCCACTATCCATCACTGCTTACATAAGGTTTGGTAAACATTTATAAATACTTTGAAAGTTTTATTCATTAAAAACTGAAGTTAGCTAAAAAACCTTAGGAACACTTAGAGGACAATTCCGTGAGGAAATGTGGACACAGTTAATAAAAACGTTATAATACTAGATTACGTAATTTTAATCATCTTATTATATTCACTAAATCTATTGTTATTATTCATATTACGTAATCTAGTATTATAACCTTTTTATTAACTGTGTTCACATTTCCTCACGGAATTAGTACTTTTACAAAAACAAAATTTTCATATATATACTTAGAGGACAATTTTTCTATATCTTCCTGGTTAAAGCTCATTAGTAGTTGGCTTCCATAGTTATACAAAAGACTGAATACTTTAAGGTATTATGTCAAACATGATAAAGTGTTGTGGCTTTACTTCTAATCACTTTCTGTTCACTAGCCAAAACCAGTTATATTTGTATGTCTAGCAGTTTCAATGTGAATTCACAATTTTCTGTTCGTTAGATACATTAGTAAGGATGATATAACATGATCAGTACATAAATGTAGATGGTATTCACAAATGTACCATTAAATATAACATCTACTTAACAGATTGTTGACCAACTTTCAATAATATCTGAATTTCAGCTTCGTGGCTGTGTTTTCTAAAAAGGTATTTTGGAATTTTACCAATAATTAATTATCTATTATTATTATTATTATTTACTTTGCAGGAAAATATTAATTTGAAACATCTCAACTTATCTGCCAATGGAATCGGTCCAAAGAAAGGATGTACAGATTTAGCTTATGCATTGAAAAATAACCTAACACTAGAGACATTAGATTTAAGGTAAAAGAATATATTGATTTCATATGGTTAAGAAGTATTATTTCCATCTATTATCTGTTTTTGATGAATTATTATTGAAATTAATATCATGTCCATATGTAAGTGGTATACTCACTATGTTCTGATACGAATTGTATTAACTTGTGTCAATAAAATTTTGTTCCAGATGTTAAAACGTTTTTAACTAAACGATGTATATGTTATGTCAGTCTGTCCTGATCGATTTAGAGCCTGATATCTATATGTAACGAGCCAGGTTTTAATACATCATCATCACAGCGAAATGAACATATTGAGAGAAAAAAATAGACGCAGAATAAAATTTGTTAGGAAAGAATTAGTTCATGCATAAGATAGTTTTAAAAATCAAGATTCAAAGGAAGATAAAGCCTGAATTCATCCAGACCATTTTGACTATTTCTGAAACTTATTATCCAACGTCAACAACCACCTAATTGTTTTCCGAATAATTATTCTTAATATCTAAAAGTTTGATTAAATTGTATTTTACATTTTAGAATCGTGTCAATTCTACATTTCCTTTCCACATTAATAGTCATTAAAATTGTTTTGATTTAAAAGTTTATAATATCTACCATAATAAATAAGATTTTATGAATGTTCACTTAGTTTTCAGAATAATCATTGACAATTAAGTGCCAATTTAACATTTAGTCACTATTCTCAATTAAAATCATATACCATTAATCATAGAAAATTAGTATTTTGAAGTTATTACTGATCAACTTGCTGTCCGGTACATATCTTTAGTATCAACTAGCTTATAAGTGAATAATAGTTAAAAATGACTCTGCGATTACATTGTTCATTAAATTAATTACCATGGAGTTAAGGATGTTTTTGGTTTACGTTTTTTATTCCTCATTTGTAAATAATAATTACAAAATAATGTAAACTCAGTGAGTATAAAATTTTAATTTGCTTAAAATGTAGTTATGTTTTTTGATTTTGTTATGAAGTGAGACTGCAGACTAGAGTGAAGCATTTTATCGATCGTTTCAGTGACACGGAAAACACGTACGAACGGCCTAGAGTCTCGATTGGTCCCGCTTCCCTGTCTGTTCCAGCCAGTTGAGTCCAGAACACAAGTCTTAGCCTCTGAGTTATGAATCATTATATTTCAGACATACTCTATTTATGTACCAATCAACCAGACCACATCGTACCATAAAATAGGAAACAACATTTGTACAATATTCGACAAGTGAACTAAATATTGACCAATAGGAAATGTCCATTTAAAGTCCAAGGATACCATTAGACTTAACATGATAATTATTGGTATACTCCTCTACATCCCTAACAGATTGATTTGTTGTTTATTGAGTAGTACAAACTTGTTTTACGTATATACTACTACGATATCACTAATTTACGATTGATTCAATTCCGAAGGAAAGTGTTAACAGTAATTTAAAATAATTAGCTTTTTTTTGTAATCATTAAACACTAGACTGAATTAAATGAAGTCATAAAATAAGTCACAGAAGTGCATTCAGTTATTGTTAGTATAGGTTTATGAATAAGATGTTATGATTAAACCGACTGTTTATTGAGCTGAAAACTGACATTCATATTACTTTTATGATTGTGCTTACTTTTGAATAGAGGTAAATTGTTAGCATAATACTGTCAGTTAACCAGCGTTTTATATCGGTTGTCTTCCCTCTCTGTCTAGCCATCTTGCTAAAAGTACTCAACATTAACTGAATTAAGCTATAGAAGATTGAAGACACTTATCATTCTTCAGGGTAATATGTTATCTTCACGGCTTTGTACAAACCCAGTCTAGTTACAAAACTGAATATCTATGGATATTCTGATGATCACACAGATGAAATATTTTTCTGTTCTTTACTGGTTTATCAATACATTTATACATCAATAAAAATTAGTCAAAATAGATATTTTTGCTAAATTTGGAAACGCTTGATTGGTTATGATGGGCTGTGAGCTACTTATATCCATATAAGTAGTATATAACGATGGTCGGGAATAGAATGTATTCCAGTAGAAGATCGAGAAGGAAACAACGGGAACGCAAATCAGTTGGTATGAAAATGCACGAACAGGAAAACATGGGACAATGGACTGAGACTTGCAAAAGGAAGAGTTAGGTTTGAGATAATTGATTAATATTTTGCAAATTAACTATTCACTGTATGGTTCTCAGATTTTAATGAGATATTCTGTAGTTTCGCTTACGGTTACTTCCGACTGCTCCCACTTGTTTTTTTGTTCACAATGATGGAATTTCAAAATCGCCTATAGTTAATTTAATTCAAGTGGAATGATCATCAATGCATGTGTAACATATTAGATGAAATAATATCAGTCATTCACTTGGTCAATGGGAAGTGTTTTGATGATCTTGAATAATGGCATCGTTATACATTATGTCAAATACACACTGAATTACATTCTGTAAAGTTAATGCAGTATTTCACAAACAGCTGTTTTGTCTGTTGACTAAAGAAGATAAACGTTGGTCGTACATAAAATTACAAACACTCATAATAAATCTTTTCTTCTATACTCACTCAAAAAATAATGAACAAATTGATAAAACAATTACCCCTTTTGATAAATTAGGATAATGCAATGAGGCGAAGTTTTTATTCTCATGGCATTATTCAAACTAAGTTGTCTTTAAATGTTTATCATTTATAATACCCAGTCTTCAGTACAGTGTTTTCACTGATGATACAACCAAGTACACATACATAATGATAAACTAATAGAGAAAATGAAGATGCTTTTATGTTTACTGTTAAGCATGGAATTACTATTCTATTAAAATAACTATTCTTCTGTGACCACCTTCCATTTTCTCATTTTAAAAATATAGGGACAATAGAATAAATCCAGAAGGTTCTGTATTGTTAAGTAAAGGCTTCTATGTGAACTCAACGTTAACTTGTTTACGAGTGAGTTTTTATAACTGAGCTTTTTTATAGAATAACTGGTTATTACCTCCAAACAAAAACTATTACAAGAATGTCTGATTAATTACTATCTTCATCTTTATGTACACTATTGCACAATCATTTATCACATTTCAGAAGTAGGTTGAAGAAATAAAAAGGGCGACCAAATTAAGAAATTGGATAAGTTCATGAAATTATTGACTGTCTGTTTGAGCCATGTTGCCAGATGTAGACTATCTGATAGGATTCTGCGCAATAATCATCGTCAGTGGTTGAAAACTTTGAGTGATATGGCTTAGATGAACTTAGTATTTATCTAATTACATATCTTGAGCCCCAGCATTCCTCCATTGATATCTTTATACTTTATCTTCTTGAACCATCATCCCCAATGGTAACTGACTAATTATCCATATAGTAGAGCATAACATAATTCTTTTTAAAGTATTTACTGATGGGTTTCTCTAGGGAAGAAAATTGAAGCTTCATGATTAACTAATCCATGTTATAGAATGCAACATCTCAGAGATAAAGCATATTGTTTATGAATGACTATAAAGTTTAAAATGTTCGTAACAGTAAAATGTAGAAAAATATAAGGCTAATAATCTCCAGTAGAAAAACTTGGAATTCTCAATTATTTATATTGAGAAATCCAAATAAGATCTCAATGAAGTAGTCAAATGACTGATTCAATTCCAAAAAATATCTACTTGAAGTACTTCTTTTTTAGTAGAGCTTTGTCAAAGAGCAACAGATTTCACTATTTGCTCAACCGAATAATAGATGAATTTTTGTAGCCTGACAGAACTTCAGATCAGCTTACTACTCGATAAGACGTGGCTGCGTTGGTTTATCAGCAAAGTGTAACTATAGCAAACAATGTCAGCTGTAGAGTTATATAATGTTTTGTTCACTTATTTTATCAGATTTTCGGAGAACGGTTTTTTAATGTGGATTTGTAACGTGATTCACGTAATAGTGGTTGTTTATTTCAGTACTTAACGTTAATCGTAAAGAAAATATCTAGAATAAAGTCATGGCAAATAACATGATGACCAAAAATATCTTTCCAGTCTTTAATATGAACAAGAATGCAATGATTTTTGAGTTTTCGGGTATGGTTAATTGTAAGAAAGGTACAATCTTTATCTAGTCAATTTATTCAATCAATAAAATGGTAGTAAAAATAAGGTCACATTAAAAAGGCGAATTGTCTTACTACTGGGTCAACCTGAAAACTTTATCGTACATAACTTTTTAACATAAAATTAAATACTATAAATGTGATAGCCTTCGTAAGTTTATACATATATATACAGTAACAAGATATGATTTTTAATTCTTTGGTGCTTCGAATTACAAATCGACAGTATTTACTTCCTTAGTATTTCGCTCCTCTAGCGTACACGTATTTTATAGCTGTTCGTGCACTTAATTATCCATTTTCATGGATCTCCTGTTATCACTTCGCTTTAAGAGGAAAATGAGATTATGATGACTTACAACGGCATACATTGAAGAAAAACAAAAACTGATAATTCAGGAACTTTCATTGTACATGTAGTTCTTTGTTGTGATCCAATTTTATGATGTACTGTGCGTTTGGCAGGTGCATTGTTGTACTGGGTCATGTGCTATTTAGCTCAGTCAATTCTTATTTATGATAACTTATTCTCAGAAGCTAATATGACACTGACATTCATTATAATCCATATCCCATTACACAATAGACTTTTCTAAGCCAGAAAATGTGTGCTACTACACAGCCATGTTCCATTACAAAATCAAAATCCACTAAGTGATATTTAATGACTGTGATAATACAATTGTGTTTTTACATCGAACAAATCTCTAGGATTAACTCAATTTATTTAATGGTTTACTTAGAGGGAAATTATATTTTGGAAATATCAGGGACCGAAATTAAAAACAACTCTCACTTGACAATCTGATCCGATTTTTGTTTATTTCCGTGAAGATGCTTGGATTGGACGTTAGCGTTATTTTTAATTTCAATCCCTGAGACTTACACATATGATTTCTTTTGAATGCCCTTTGTTCATTTAGTACCTAATATATTGTGAAACTGTTCGTTCAAATCTAGAAGAAAATTCCTGAGCAATGATTTTTTGTTTGTAATCTGCACAATTTGAAATTTTGAAAACAATCTAATTTTTCAGATGGCAAGAAATCCAATGCAAACTGCTGGTTGTTATGCTATTTTAACAGGAGTTCTAAAAAATCCAAACTGTGGATTGTTGGAACTTGATTTACAGGTAATTAAGTTTTGAATTTTCGTATAAATTCGTTATATTTCAATTTTCCTCCAATCTTTTCTTTCTTTAAGAAACAGTGTTATTCTTAGGAAATATGTTTTTTCCTCAATGCTACAACTCATCAAGTCATCCAATACTGAGCTACGTATTGTCTATTGATACAAATTTCCTGGTTGAAATCTGGGAGACTATCCTAGTTTATGGCTAAAGATTAAGTAATTTGCTTACATATTTAATTTGAGAAATACCATTTTTACACTTTTTATCTTTCTAATTTACTCGTTCATTTTCAAATGAACTGTTTATATCAAATTCTGTCACTGATATTAGTATTTTGTATCAGGTACTACTTCTATGAATCTTGTTTAATGCTGTCGATAGTGAATAGCGAAATACAATAAATAAAATGTTATCATCTTAAAATTCTCTGCATATTTAAGATGAAATAATGTAACAGCAATTTGGTACTCAGATTATAAATACTGTAAGCTAAATTACATTATTGTTGAAGCAATAGTCAGATAAAATATGAAATAACTAATCGTTTAATTCGTTTTCTTAAAATATCGATTTATAATTCTCAATAAACGGTCCGATTTGAATCATATTTTCTATCTGCATCAATGCCTCATATCGTGTTCACGTTTCAATGGGTTCCATACTTGGCAAATAGAAATGTTATAATGATGCTAATTTTTACTTTGTAATTGACAATTTGTAGAAAGATCATAGGCTTGAACTATACATTAGATTAGTAGAATGAAGACAGTTCTCCATTATTTTTCTTTGATCAGTGTTGCAATCCTTATCAGTGATTGCAATGTAGCCCCTCACATACAGAAAGTATTTTCAGCATAATTTTCGGTAAAGGGAATAAAGTACACTAATGAACTACCAAAAAACAAGATTCAACCCAAATCAATCCCTCCAAGGTTACCGTCCACGTGATCTGTTTTTCTATGTGAATAACTGCACTTGTCCCAAAAGGAGTATTTTTTAAATGCTTGCCACAGTGGTATTGAGTGCAACAAAATAATTGAAAACCATGTTCTAAGCTTTATTATTTTATAGGTAACCTACGAGGCCTATATCTTTGAAAATAATCGATATTCCAAATAACTTCTTATCATACATATTTAGTATTTAATATCTAGCATTCCAGGATATTATGTTACAATTACCATAAATAGTACAAAACGTTTTATATACGACTAGGTGCACGACGTAGCACTAATGGATACGATATAATTAGACCTCAATACCAGATCAAGACATACGTGGACATATAATACTGACCAATGATTAAAAACGAGATAAACTGAGACAGAATGATCGTTTAGTTAAGCAGTGTAAAACCTAGGGTACAATAGAGTGAAGTCAGTCTTCGATACATAACAATAGTCTATATACTTGGTACTTGTCAGTCGTCGATCGGTGGTCAAATATATCTTACTTTCATTTTTCATATATTACTTATTAAAGCGGAACAACCAACTGTTTTATTGTCTTTTGAGATTAATTTGTTTGAGGATTTGCATGACTAATCAGATATAATAAGCAGGGGCTAGTCAACTACACTGTATAACTACACATCATTTTCTAGTTACCATTCTATTCCTTTTATAAATAAGTCCAAAATTGCATCATCAAAAATTCTTAAACGCAATCTTTCATATAACAGAGGTTGAATAAAGTAATTCATGAAATAGAAATTTATAATCACATTTATTTTTATCCTCTCACAATCTAGAAGGAAGTCCAGTAAATTGAGTAGCAACAAAATTTATTGAAATTCAAAATACAATTATGATCAGTTACTTAACTCTTTATCATTTATCGAATAGTTGTAGAAAACAAAAACAATTCTTAAAATTGGATTTCATCACGAACCGATATCACATTAGGATGATGAGTTCCTATAACTCAAGCCAGAACCCATTGACGCCGAATTTCAGATTACCTGGATACAATACAGTCGTCGCGGATGGCAATAGATGATGGTCAGGCTATTTCATAAATTGACTAAACATTTTGTTACCGACTCAGTGATATTTCATTTACCCAATAGCTGAGAGACCTGAAGGTTTTGTGTTCAATCTCTAACGTCATTGTTCATAGTTGTACTAATAGGGAACCACGCAAGGCGATTGTCCAATATAGACTAGTCATCGATGATTAATCAGTGTATTATTACTATAAAAACAAGTGCATTTCTGTACTATAAACTGACAATTTTTGGGAAGTAATGTTTTATTATTGTATTAATTTATATCAAAAGATATTTATTTGGATTTCGACAGGATATTATAGTAAATCAAGATTTTCTTGATTTACAAGATTCAGCTCGAATTAAACTTCCAAATTTATGTGTAAGATATGGCCAAGCAACAACTGATAAAATTCGGGTACTGTCACCACGTTTTAAAAGATCTAAATATAGTCCAAAAGAAATATTGATCATAATGGGACGTTCAACAAAACAGAGTTTAGCTGATCTATTACGTCCTTTGGATATTGTTGGTAATAAAACTATTACAAGACAACTGTTCGTGAAAATTCTAAATGTATGTGTATAATTTATTCTGAAATATTCATAAAACTTAATGGTTAATATTTTGTTTGCAGTATGTTAGCTCATACATATGAAATTTAAATGATTCTTAGATAGAATATTCACCACTCAAAGTACACGGGTGCGTGGAACCTTGGAAGTGTAAGCCGTTATTTTAAATGTAAAAACACTGAATAAATTTCTGACTACTATATTTAGTCTACTGACGCGAAACCTGACGGCCCACATAAACAATTGCGGTCAAATTTCTAATCTAACCTGAAAAGATTTGACTCAGGTAGTTTAATCATGTTTGTATTAAGGCAGATAACGTAGAATAATGACAGGACTATGTGAAAAAATCTATTGGAGTTGTAAACTGTAACAACAGAACTCTGACTCTATGGTACCAAGGTATCACGCTCGTCACAAGATCGGAAATTACTCGGTTCGATTTTCTTAATGTTAACTGACTATATATATATATAGCCAACCTTGTTTTCACAAACTTGTCTGACATTACTCATTATGTCCGAAAATTTTCTCTCTCAATAATTTCTTTTATTTCCCATTTGTTTAAGGAATTCGATCAAAAAACCAATTGATTGCAATAAATGTAGTTTTGAATAGAGCGAAAACAAGGAATTGAGCAGAATAACATGAATTTATTATATTTCGTTAGATTGTCGTCAACTTCTTACAACCCAAAAACATAAAATCCAAAATTATTATAAATCTTACACACTAATAACAGTAAAAATGGATATTTATCATTATGATGGCGTAGTGAGAGTGCAGATATATAATGAGTGTTGTAGATGTATGAGAAAAGATTCTTTATCTTCAGATATAGTAAAATAATTAATTGATTATGTAATGAAGTAGTTGAATATAAGTTAATAACAATTAAGAATAACATGAGTTGAGATCAGTCAGTCAAAAAAAACAAATAATATGGCTATAAATTTGAAATAAGTGATGCAATTAAAATTGGAGAGAAGTTGAAAAAAATGACGATAAAATCACCATTGGTAAAGATTGATTTGTAACTGTGTCCTTTTGGATACATAAGTTTGGTTTTATTCGTTTAATAGATATGGCTTAGACACATTTGAAAAGAGAGGCATATAAATATCGATCGATAATGCGTTGAACTGAATCATCCTCCCTCAGTTGTATGGTAATGTCGAGATAATGGAACTTACCATCCTTTTCCTGCTCTATGGAAAACTGGATATTTTTATGAGCGTCGTTGAAAAGGTTTAGCAGGTGGTTTGCTTGTTGCTGATCATGCACCCTACTGAGGAGTCCCACAATAGGACGAAACGGCCATCCAGTGCTTCCAGGTTTTCCATTGTGGTCTAGCTTTAATTGACTCATGATCTCAACTGTTGAAATTACTACAATCTCCACAAAACCCCTACTGATACTAATAAAATTATCGTCAGCAAACCTCGTATAATAAGCCATTATATCATCCGCGCCTTTAAGCTTGTTCTTTTCAAGGTTAGTCACGAATATATCTGCTAGGACAAAACCAAGTGGTCTTCCCATTTTTATCCCATCAGTTTGACGACAGATGATGTTATCAGATTGAAACCGGATATCTTTTGTGCACATAATTAGTGTTGTTAGAGATAAGAGGTCAGACAGCTCGCGAAATATGTCTATGGTTTTCGAAAGCGGTATTTTGGCAGACAGAGATGTTAAATCAAACCAAACTGTCAACTTAACATCGAAAATTTGTCATTGTTTGAACCTTCAGTTAAATTATCAATGGTATTTTAAATTTATCTTATTTCACCAATTATACAATACAGTACGACTCATAATTTATCACTTTTGATAGAATATTAATCTTTGTAAGTAAATGTACACACATATATTATATACAGTTTATTATGTAGCTGAATATTGATTAGATGTCTGGAAGTTAATTCACCTGTTCATAAATTCCCACAGCTTTCATTATTGATCATATAGTTAATGCTGTCTTGAAATATTAGTAGAATATTATGGATGTAAATGACCTAATGATATATAGTTTCCATTTATTCTGAGAGAAATGAAATGACAACTTGAAGATAGCAAGAAGTAAACAGAACTTAAGGGGAACAAATGATAGTAGGCTAACATAAGGTGAAGATTTTACTTGTTAAAACTGAAGCAATCAACAATAAATAACTTCAATGATTTGTTTCACCATTTCGTGTAGACCTTCTACAAGATTATCAAATAAACAAAGAATCAAAAACAAGTTCATATTAAAAGATGGTCCCATCATGTCTATATATTGGCTTATCCTGTCTACAGTGAAAATTCGCATTATTCGGTGCGAAATCTCCAGGCTGCCCAGATTTTATTTCTTAATGATAACCACTAACTGATGTCAATATCTCTTGAAATTGTAGCGACTAACGTCATTCAGCCATCTCAAGGCTGAGATTGTTCTCCATCAGTATTTATGAATAATAAGATTTTGTCAAGTGACTGAAGTTAGGAATTTAGGCCGTTGAATTCTGGTTTATTCGTTTTGAAGTTAAATCGCTCTCTGTTAGACCTGAAACTCCTGGGCCCGAATGCTGACATATTTGTAAGTCGCCACTGATAAAAAGTCATATACTGTATCGAAAAAGTTACTAAGCCCACTCTGGTTTTAAGTTTTTTTCCAAATCGACATCAATTAATGACATGAAACAACTTTAAACGTCATTTATATTTATTGCTTATCTATGTATTCAAAACCTAGCCGCTGTAAAACTTCTCATTTAAAACTAAATGAAAGTTCAACTAAATCATACCTGATCAACCATGTAAAAAATATTACAATAATATATTTAAACAAACTGACAATTAAAAACTAATATTCGTTTATTATATGATAATATACCAGTCAAATACACGTATAATTTGACAATAATCCAAGTACAATAATGTCTTTACAATGTTAAGTAGTTATTATGATCTTTTGAAATTATGAAAAGTACTTACTTATTACTAAATTTGATTAATCAATATCAAAAGTTAATCTTATACAATTTACAATCTAACTATACCCTAATTTCCAGATTGTATTTTGATTCACTTCTTAATAGAAATGTTTCATTATTAGAAGTAATAAATCTAAATTAAGTTTAAGATGAATTTCAGAAAGCTAATCATTTTGTATTGTATTATTTGAACAGATTTACATGACGGTAAGTTATGACTTTAAAAAAATAATAATATTATTATTAATCGTATTTTATGGATACGATCATAATTTATAAAGAAACTCATGAAATTCATCGAATGTTGAGAGGTTATTTTAAAGATAACCTATTGAGAAAATTCTTTTTTTAAGGGAATCAAACTTTTTTTTTAGTAATTACTATGATTATGTCAAGGATGATGTAAGGTAAGAAAGCTTATCAACCTTCTATATTGGCGAGAACAATAAACGGGTTGCTAATCAATTCAATCCAATCAAACTACTTGTGTATACGGTTTAAACTTTATGAAAGTTATCAATGATCAGCTTGATTTTTCAAAACATTTCATGAATGTTCATTACAATGGAAACAGGAAACAAGCTTATTGCGGTAGATGAGTTTTTAAGGGGAACAGAAGAAATTGACACTTATAGGTTACTCAATGTACAAAGTTACAATTACTAAAAACAAAGTTAAAAATGTAGTTTTATTTCCGTTGTCAATCGATAGAAATAAATAAGTCTTTTTATGATGGTAAAATCAAATGAATGCATTTCTAAGTAATCACACAAAACATTGTTTTGACACTTCAGTCAATGAGGTCATGGAATAAATATAGTAGGACTAAAAATCAATAATCTACAATTTGCCGGATTCAGTAATTAGCATATTTCATCTAACATGCCATCAAGTTATGATTGTTATCACTTTTGCCCAACGTATATGACATTTATTATTATTCACAGGGATTTAGACGTTTCTCCTGTTGATAATGAAGTATTGAATTTGAACATTGGATCTTGTGTTGAATAAATATTTTCAGTAATATTGGCTAATAGAGTAATTTGCTAGCTATTAATACATCTACCTCAAAATGAACTATTCTGTCAGTATAATGTTATTTTGATTGTATTTAATACATTCTGTAGTAAATAATAGGCCTTATCCATTCATATTGTCATAATCGTAAACGCACATTTCAATTACACGATATAAAACTATGAGCAAAATATTTACTAATTTTAGTTATGAGTGGACTGGCAGCTTTACAGAAAACATTTTGGAGTATATCTTAGGGTGATCAAACTGAAATATGTTGTCACTGACCCTTAAAATGATACATATAGAATAAAACAGACTCAGCTAAATAATCTTAATTTGCTTAATTGCTTAAAATGACCTAAAATAATGCAGATAATCACTTTTCTTTCGTAGAGTTCAAAATACTGAACTTGTTTCTTTCAATTTCTTTGCCTTTTTCTCATTATGTACTAATTTTTTTATGATCCTACTTATTTTGTCTTTACTCATGTCAACTTTCACCGTAACAATGTGTACTGTAAAAATAAGCAGACATAATGTTACCAAATTTACTAATCTTAATAAATCATACTGTGGAACATATTTAATATTAAAAATTCTTTAAAGTGAACCTATACGATCATTATCTGTGTTCAATAAAAGATCAATATTTCATGGAATAAAACGAAAGGATTAATCATGGTTCAAATGAGTGAATTAAATGAATAACAAGATGTGATGCTCCTACTTTTAAAAAAAACAATCTGCTGTAGTCATATATTCGAGCAAATATTACAAGTTGTTTATTGCAGATTGGTGAGCTGTTATCAGACGGTGTTTCGTTATTAACTACAGACAGGAAAAAATGCTAGTAACACATCGGCAACGAAGTTGATGACAGGATAAATATTCATCACATCGATAACAATTGATGTTACTTTAACATGTGAAAGGAAGGTACTAGAACAATTACGAAAAAGAATGGTCTGTATATCCAGGTGAACCACTGTTTTTCATTTTGTATAATATCTGGTGGCGATATAAGATGGAATGTATACCTACTTGATTAGTTTTCTTAAGGTTAATAATAAACAGACAATTTGTATAAATTGAAAATCTCACTTTTTTGAAAAACTACATATAATCGGAACATTTACATCTTATAGAGGCTTGGAATACAATTTACTGAAGAACAAATGAAAGTATTAATGCAAGAATTAGATCCAAAGAATCTAGAAGAGGTTAACTTTACGTAAGTGAAAAACTACTTATTTAAAGAAAGCAATAAGTATTTAAATTATTTAAAAGTAGGTGTTTTATGATGTAAATATGAAGGGAAAATATCGATTGCAAGGCACGAAATTCTGGTTACTTTGAAGTTGTAAGATGACAACGTAAAAAATAGGATTGTCAAATCTTGTTTATTAGAAATTAAATGCATTTAGTATACTCAAGGGAAATTCTATTAATTCTGAATTAAGGTTAGAAGAAATTTATGATCAATGAGGTTATTTTCAAGATATGATAAATAATCTTTTAGCGTGCTCTAAACTGACAACCTGGGAGCAGCCATACATGTGTGCATGTCAGCCTCAGCATTACATTTCACACTTTTACCAGGAAAAGATTAATTGAAGCGTTGATTAGTCTGTTAAGCTGCTCATCGATTTCCCATCACTAATATTTATTTTTGCAGTCAAATAAAATACATTTCCAGAAATAAATATTTGTGGCCTGCATTTGCCATAGATTGCCATACCCTTAAAAAACAAAGTACATCTGCTTTGTATTAGCGAGAGGCTTCTCAGTAGTAACACACCAGATCTAGCTGGTCATCGAACACAAGAACTTTAGGTCTCGTGCTATGTGGTTAACGAATGGTCTACTAGGTTAATTTTTAATGGTCTACATTACCAACTTCAGTCGTTTCTCGATATACCATAACATCAAATTCAATCAATAACAACCGTTTCATTCCCGACATGAGAGAAATCTTAGATATTGCTTTCCGACAAAACTTCGTGAACTCATCTACAAGTCGCTAGTAAGTATATGATTATATTCTTTCCAAGCTTTCGTGAGAATGAGTTCTGTTTCCAGGTGGCAATCTGTTATCCTGGGATGTTCAAATTAAGTGTTTTACCCTCTAAATCCTCTTATTTTTCATTCATTGTCTTTATACAATGAGTGTTGCTTTATTATCTTAGAAAAAAACAACGAAAAACCGTAGGAATATTTTAAACTAAATACAATAAGTGTGTATTTGTCTATATTATGGGGTAAAATTTTATTCAAATATTAAGACAATTGATAAGCCTAAATAAAAATGCTTCTTGTATATATTTCGTCAATGCTGATGCAGTTTAAAACAAAGACCACTAGTTATGAACGTACCATACACTCCTTATTATGAATAACATTTTTAATGTTATGGTAACCAAAGTAAAATGGAAGAAGCTGCGCTGTCGAATGCAATGAAATTAATACAAAAAGTCTTTAACTTAGCTGAACTCTCACATCTAAATCTGAATCTTACAAGTCAGAGTTTGAATAATTACGGAAAAACAAATCGAAAATCCTTAAGAAAATGAAAAAAGAGCAGTTAATCAACGAACAGGTATTTGAGCACATAAAACCAACAGCATCGATAATACCGCGATTATACGGTTTGCCAAAAATACACAAATCTGGCCTACCTCTTAGACCGATTCTCGATATGTCTGGATCCCCTTACCACCCTATGGCAAAGTGGTTGGCGAATCTCTTAGAACCCGTTAGAAAACTCATTTGTAAACATTCTGTACGCGATACTTTTGAATTTATCGAGCACATAAAAGAAGTGAATGTAAGTGGCAAAATTATGCTATCTCTGGATGTGGAATCATTATTCACTAATGTCCCACTTACAGAAACCATTAATTTTATCTGCAAGTACATAAACAATACTGAGATAAACATTGGGATACCTGAGGTTTATTTGAAGGAATTATTACTACGTTGTACTTGCAATGTACAGTTCACATTCAACGACGTAATTTATAGACAGAAGGATGGTATAGCAATGGGATCCCCACTTGGTCCATTACTGGCAGATTGCTTCATGGCCAGTTTAGAAAACAACCAACTTAAAAGAATTATAGAAAACCTCCACTTATATAAAAGGTATATGGATGATATCTTTATCATTTGTGATAACAAATGTAACTTAAGTGATCTCCTAAATACATTTAATAATTGTCACCCATCAATAAAATTCACAATTGAAGTTGAAAACAAACAAAATATTCACTTCCTTGATGTAGATATAACAAGGAAACAAGATGGTACTTTAAAAAGATCTATCTACAGGAAACCCATATGGAATGGCCAACTATCAAATTTCCACAGTTGGGTTCCCATCAGCCGAAAAAGAAACTTAATAATCACTCTCGCCACAAGAATACGAAGAATCTGTAGCCCTGAGGTCGTAGAGGAAGAATTGAGTTTTTTAAAAGAGATACTTATCAAAAACGGATATCCTTCTATATTCATTGATAAGAACATGAAACCGAAAATACCAAGACCACAAACCACTGCAGTAGAAAAGAAAATTTTATACATGAACATCGACTTCAAAGGCGATAGAGCCGCACATATCTTAAAGAGGAGAATTTCAGATTCTTTAAAAAGAACATTTTTCGCAGCAACATTGCGAATATTATTCTCAAGCCGATCACTGTTCGCCAATAATCTGAAAGATAAATTATCGCATCTGACCAATTCAATGTGCATTTACCAATTTACCTGCTCTTGTGGAGCTAGGTATATAGGTCGTTCGATGCGTACTTTATCCAAAAGAATTCAAGAACATTGTCCGGCTTGGCTAAGAAGAGGAGGCAGCGGTTCAATAAGTAGTTCTATAATCGAACACCTTGTGAACACAGGTCACTCAATCAAGACAGACTCTGCGTTCAAAGTCATCTACAAGGTAAGTAGAAACCTTCCTAAGACAATTAGACTACATCTCCTTTGCATTGCCGAGGCAATAGCCATACATTTTGAAAAACCAGAATTATGTGTACAAAAGAGACTGGTACAACCTCTTCTTTTACCGTGGTCTTAACGTATTAAAATTTTTTCTCTTTCTCATTACTCTTGTTCTTTTACAGCCACCTGCTTCACCTCCCATCTTCCCTTCAAATCTTGTACCCCCAACCGGTTTGTTTTTATTTCAACGATCATTCCGATTACATTTCATCTCTGTTTCAACATTTTATGTTATTTTATCATGCTGAGCTACTCTTACCCGATGACTATCTAAGCCATTATCTATCAAACTTTCCTTGTTTTTAAAAATTTTTTCTAATACCTTTGTTTATTTAACCTCACTGTCACCATGTATATCATAAGTTTATTATCAGTATTATTATCACCCTGTATAAATAAGTATATATATTTGCGATTGTACAGCTTTGAAAATGAATTCGCCGAAAAGAGAACTCTTCGCTGAACTAATCTTTCTTTCTTAATGTCATAATGGGTGTATTCCGTTTATTAAATCGAAAATCATCTCAATAACTAACAAACTTACTGTTAATTTAATAACAGGTTATCTTGTCTTTTTCTACTCAAGATGTCTTTGTTTTTTTGTTTACCGTTGCGGATTATTTCTAATCAATTTAACTGAAGCAAAATTATTAGTCTGTCGTGTCTTGTGAAATAAAGTGAAGTTTTGTTGTACTAAGGTTAAGTGTAATTTCCAAGCAACTCATCTCACACCTGAAGTTAAAACCCCGATAAATCGCTAAAATAGAAACGGTCGTATCGCAAACTTGTGTGAAGAGATTAAAGGGAGTGGTATGTAGAGAGATCAATTATGAATTAGCGAACTATTCGCTAAACCTATTTATCTTATTATTTTCTTTGTTATTATTATCATTATCGTTTCAGAGATTTTGAATTATAAAGATATCTTCTTCGAAAAATCTCAGTCTGATTTCTGAAAGCTATACAGAACTCCAAAAATTATTTAGATAACAAACAAAAAACTCTGAAGATATTTTTATTTGTTCTCATTTTATATGCCCTTGATTTTTTCTGAACTAAAAATATATAAATGAAGTAATAAAAAATACTTTATTGACTAAGTGATATAATTTTCTGCAAAACAACAGTCGAGGGAAAATTGCTAGACATTTAAATAAGTAGTATTAGTAGTTGTTGTAACAGTGGAACACAATAAATTTTACAAATCACAAGTATACTGAGATGCATCAATAGTGAAAGAGCATTTTATATAATAAACTAGTAGGTAGCTTGCATTGCCGGTACGAAAGGCAGTTAATTAGTTAAAAAGCTAACTGTTCACTGAATATTCTTAACCATTTTTACAGTAGTTACAATATTATGTGTATCAGGATAAGAAGCACGCTCCAGATTTTGAGCATATGGCATAGGAATATCTGCGCCAGTCACCCGTAAAACTGGAGCATCTAAATAGTTGAAAGTATCCGCTAAAAAAATTCATAAAATATAAAGGCAAAATGTTTAGTTCGTAATATTTTAAATGTAAACTATATATATAATGGTAACAAAATATTGGAGCAACAAGTTATAAATTAAATTGCAATGACTGCTTGTGCATACAGCCTCCAACATTGTTCTATCATCTTATAGATTGAGATTAAAGCCTAATAATTTGGATTATTTGACCATAGACTGGTAGGAAAGCTAGCACCATTCACAAAAACAGGTGACTGATTCTGATACCCCTCACGAATGATTTCTTACATCTAACTTTGTTTAGTGGAGCGTCAGTTAAAATTATAAACAAGTCAATTCAAAGTATAAATCTTACTGAGTTATTAAGTAATTGTTTAATGAAAATGTCATAAGTGAATTAAATATCCCTGAACCAACAATATTCAAAGTCGAAATATTAGTAAGAAATTTGTAATACGATAATTGGCTGAAATATTCAAAAGCAGTCGTAAGTAAATTTGCCATAACGAATAAAATGATATAACTGAAGCTTTGCCATTCCATTTAATTAAATGATCATGACAATAACTTCTGAGGTCATGAAACAGTGAATTTACTAACTCAACGAATGCAACTCATTTTTATTAAGTACATACTATGAATTACAATTTAGTTATATAAAAACTAATTATACTGGTACTCTATTTTCGAAATTGAATCAATCAGATGGAGCAGTGTTTGCATCTGTAACTCAATGGGTAAAATCTGAGTTGTCTTCTTAATCATGAAGTCATTAATCTAACAAAAAGCTTCAATTATTCAAACATCAAATAGAAAAGAATAAATATTTTTATTATCTTACAGTAGGTTGACGATTTTCTTAGACTTACTCTCAATTTTGATTATGGTGAATGTTTACGGTGCACTTTATTGCAAAATTTAATATAAAACCCGAAAACGTAATTTAAAAGAAACCTAGTATCCTGAAGTTTTCAGAAAGGATATGAATGGAATAATATATTTACAATGGGTACTAAACTTACTTTCCATGACGCGAGCACATATTTCAGCACCAATACCACATACAGGCCAACCATTTTCTACGGTTACTAAATAATGTGTCTTTTTAACGGATTGAAATATTGTTTCTTCATCCATTGGCCGCAAGGAACGCAAATTAATTACCTAAAATAAGGAAAAAAAGAATAGAATATGTCCGATATATTAAAGTCTACCTTACAGTGTCAAGAAAATAAAAGGATAACTCAAAAACACATGAACCAGATTGTATTAATTGACTTATAAGCAAAATATACTATGCAGTGACTGGCCAGTTAAACTTGGACAGTAGTCCAAACTTATCGTCCACTGGTTGGAAATTAGTTCTAAATTATGTAGTCACAGCCCCACATATAACCTGTTCAAACATGATGAGAGTTGGAGTATTCAAGATGACAGAAACTAGTGGCCGGAAACAAACTGAAATGACTTAAAATCGACCACAATATTACAGATAAATACGTTCTGTACCTTCTTATGACTTTTGGACATCTTAATAACTACCATTAATTGGACCTAAAACCTATCTGTCATGATTTGTATTTCAAAATTATAAACTGTCTGGTTCATCTGAAAAGACTAGAAAAAAGAACGATATAAAAATTTGAATCACGGAATTATATAAGTGAGTGGTTGAGGAAAAACTCATTGAAAATTATTCTACACACGGATTACCAAAGAAAAACGATGAAACATTTCTTGCATACCTCGGCACTGATACCTAGTTTTGATAATTCTTCAGCAGCGGCAAGGCAAGTACCCACACCTAAACTGTAACTAACGAGAGTGACATCTTTCCCTATAAATTAAAATACAAAAAACGACCAGTAAGTATGTAGAACGTTGAATACACGATTCATAACATTCGCTTTTCTCTCTTTACATTTCAAATTACCATGCATAATTGTTACCAAAAATACTTTAACAAATGCGTGACAAAACTGTTAGAAATCTATTGCACAAACATCTATTATGCATCGTAGATCAACTCTGTTTGTCACGCTACTATCGAAATTTTTTAACAAAACCAATTGTTTTGAAAGACAAATGACGTTTCTCCTACAAACATTTATAAAAAGGACATATTTTAAAACAAAAACGTGGACATTTATGAAAACTTTTAAGATATGAGAGAACAGCCTCACAAATAGAGGATTTTGATCAAATTTACCAGTGAGGTTAATTCCAAAACAAAATTCTAACACACCAAAATAAACTTAAATGGGTATTTGAGTTACACGGCAAAGTAAGAAATTATCCTTAAAGTTTAAGGAGAACAAAAGTTACTACATGTATAGTCACCTTAAATTTACGATTCCCTAAACATTCTAAACCTCAAAAGCCTGAGCCAACATAAGCTCTGTCGTCTATGGGCTATTGTGAATATTTCTTTCCAAAACTTCCTACTGCCATGTGAAGGACTTTTCTTCTGCAAATATTTTTAACTGTGATCAACTTTTGGACCACGCACATATTTAATTAATTAAAGACAGTAAAGAAAGTATCTAATAATCCAACTTCGACTAAATTCTCTCATTCTAAAAATGTAAGAAACGAATGAAGGAAACATACTGCACGTAAACACCATAAGCAATACAATTCTATATCATTTTAAGTGTCAAAGATATTAGTATTTATACAACCAAGATTTGCGTGGAAGTGACGTATGCGGCAGTTACTATTAATGAATGTTATTTATGTACAGGTTTAGTTTTTCCCCCATACGCAAAGTGTTGGAAAACAATAGATTTCCTCTACCATAAAGGTGGAATCAATAAAATTTCATAACCAACAACGGATATTACTGATTAACGGCTCTAAATATTGCTTCCTAATAAATCCCACCTACGATACACAGAAACACATTCTAGCCTGACAAAGACATCAAAAATTATGTGCTCCATAGCTGAGTCATTATCTAGCCGCTTAATACTACTGTTTTTTTATATTATAGGATGCATAAATTCACATATCAAAATCAGAAAAAGATAAGTGAAAAGCCATAATTAGTAAATCAAAACTTATATATGATCAAGCGATAGACTTGTCATTGAATTATTTGCTTTATAAACAGCATATATGAGTTCGGACTAAGGACTAACTGCTTCGGTTGGAGTAGCGAATCACTATTGAAAGCCCCTCACAGAAAGTTTTTCTAAAATCTATATCCATGGAACTATGCTTGATCACGGGGTTGCGTCAATTATTTTTAATAGCCACATCCTTTTCTTGTCAGCTTAATATATCCAATGCCTGTAAATAGCGTATTTCAATAACAAACTCTTCACATTATTATGAAAAGAATAATAGATTTTCTTAGATCACATCTGTTATTGATGGACAGAAAATAATTTATGCTTTTCGTCATAACCGTATTATAAATATCACGAGAAATGAGTACAGGATGGCTTTACGCTTTAATTTTGAATTACTTTGGTTGAAGATATGAGTTGGCGAGAAGTATTTAATCGCGAGTTACTGTAAAGTACTGAGTGAATAATATGGAGATGGAGCATAAAGATCTTGGTAATTAGTCATCTATAGTTGTTAACTTATGCACACTGAGGTGCTTAAGACATATGTTACACAAGTTACGCAACCAATAAACGAAATATCATCATTAGTAAGATTGAACTATAAAAATCAAAGGGTGACAAGAATGAAATATGAAATTAGTTTTGAGATTACTGGTAGTTGTTATGAATTGGGATCAAAAGTCGAAGTGCTGAACAACTGACGATAATGACATGCGTAAATTTATTCTTGATACTGCATTAAATCTTAGGAACCATATAACACTACATGTATTTACTCCATATTGCACTCATGTTTTTCCTATTTGCATTCATATATTTTTCCCTCTCTTCATGTCAAATTTTTTTTACTTTCTTGTCCTGGTTTACTTTGTTTGTTTATAAAGCAACATCACATTAAATTTTACGTTTTTGTAAGGTGATTAAAGACGAAAATGTTGGACATAAGTAAAGTTGTAAGAAAAACAATGGGCGAATGAAAACTACTAGAAAAGTTGAAATACAAAGTAATGGAGTTGTATAATAGATATACAACTAACACATTTTAAAGTCATATATTAGCAATTAGTAAATACTCATGCACCAACAGTGAGAATCTAATGCTGAATCAAAGAATAAGGACGGAAAAACTTGAAAAAGAAAGAGGCTTACCTTCCCTTTCAACTTTAGCTTGACCTATAGGAAGCAAGAAGTCTGAAGACAATGCTTCGTCTGAAACATCAAATGACTGTCCATATAATAATTCGCTCTCCAAATGAACCACTGATATATGAGGAAATAAATGTCAGAATAATAATGGAATTATATCAATCTAGTACTTCAGTAAAAATAAAATCTAAATAAACTTCAAGCAAATTGTTATTAATGAACATTGATAAAATAAAGATTGTGAAATATGCCCGTGTAGATTCATTTGCAATTTATTTCCAACAAGATCAAACGTTGATTTACTTAACTCACTTCTAGAGAATTCTAAAAACATTCCCTGTGATCTGCAAGCAACGAAATATTTCTTGAGTAACAGAGATTGGTCTGACTAATGTAGTTCATAAGATCACCAGACAAGGGCTAGGAGCCGTGAAGCTGAGTACAAAACCCTATACTTGATAAATAAACTGCATTATTGAAGAACAACTTTTTAACCTTTTAATTCAACTAGCCAACCGAAAGGACCATTACACTACCTCTGGACCACAAGTACGGTTGGCAATGCCCCCGAATGCCCTGGTACAACCGAGAGTGGGGAGAGTCCGCTCTCCCTCTTGAAATGCTCTCACTTGGCCACGCGTATATAGCCTCTGCCAGGGAAGTCCTACTCACTGCCTTCTCGTGAAGGGGATGTTGTTTACGAAATTGAGAGGACGAAAAGCAAATGTTCGGCGCTTTAACCTGGTTAGTGGACATGGAGAGTCCACCCAGGCAAGTTGGGAAACCCTGATTCTATATGGGCTCCAGTATCCTGACGGAACAAATGGCGTATGAACCAATAGTTGGTCACCGGCTACCATGGGACTGCATCTCCTTACGATGCTCCACTGCCTTGTGGATCAGACCCTCAGGTCGAAGGCTCGGGGAGTGGCCCCCTAAGAAAACCACCTGTTTCGGTTTGGGTACCCGGGCAGTATCACAGCCCCCACACATATCGAATGAGATTTGTGTGGCGCATATGTATTTGGTGCCTTTTTGTGCCAATATCTATGTGTTGAAATAAATAAATTCTGATCTGAACACGCTTATATATAGATATATTGCCGCTCAACTACCTATGCTATAATGTTTGAGCTAGCTAGACTTTAGCAGTAAACAGTAGATTGTTTGTACCAGGTAAAAACAAAACTTACGAACGATATATATATATATATATATATATATATATATATATATATATATATATAACTTACCTGGATCCGGATCACGTATGGCCGATTTCAGGAGACCTCGACAATCTTCACAACTGTAGGGAGCCAGAACTTTAAGACCAGGGCAACTAGCGTACCACGCACCGTAATCCTGACTATGCTGGGCGGCGACGCCAGCAGAGCATCCATTCGGCCCTCTGAAAACAATTGGGACTGACACCTAGAAAACATAAGAAACAGAAATGATATAATGACTTGGATTGTTATTTTTTCAATGACGTGAATAGTTTTGTTTCGTAGGCAACGTAACTGAAAGCAATATTGTGAAACAGCACAGTGATTTATTCGAAAATGAAAGCTCAGGAATGAGATGATAGCAACTTTGAAATTCCATAGGCTCTCCACAAAACCACACAAAGAAATTCAAAACTAAAAAAGTTATTCACAGTAGATTAATGTTCATAAATTATCTCATTCTTTTAGAAACCAAATATTTCCATTATGATAACTGTTAAGCACAATATAAATAAGAACTCTTTTTAAAGATGGTGGTGACTTTTTGACTAAGGAATTGACGACGTTGTTTACAAAAGTTTGGGAACTAGAGAGTGTACCAACGTCATGGAATGAGTTGATAGTTGTCCCTATCTTTAAAAAGGGTTCACGTCATTCTTGTAACAACTATCGGGGGATAAGTTTACTTCCGATTGCGTCCAAGCTATTGGCTTCCGTCATTCTTCGTAGGTTGTTCAAAACCCGAGAAAGATTGACTCGCGAGGAGCAGGCTGGGTTTCGTTCTGGTCGAGGATGTATTGATCATATCTTCACCCTCCGCCAAATGTTAGAACACCGCCATACTTTTCAAAGGCCAACAATCGTAGTGTTTCTTGACATCAGGGCTGCCTTCGATTCGTTGGATAGGACTGTTCTCTGGGATTGTCTATTGAAGAAGGGTGTGCCTGAGAAGTTTATAAACATCCTAAAAGCCCTATATAAAAACACCTCAGGCAGAGTGAGGGCATACAACCACCTCTCTCCATTGTTCCATTCGAGCAGTGGGGTTAGGCAGGGTTGCCCAATCTCACCATTCCTCTTCAACTTTGCCATCGATGACATTCTGGAAACAGCTCTGATGAATGTAAGTAATGGTGGTGTGGATCTGTTGCCTGGAGAAAGACTTCTCGACCTTGAGTATGCGGACGATATTGTCTTACTGTGCGATAATGCCCAAGGCATGCAATCCGCACTTAATCAGTTGGCAATCAATGTCCGTAGGTATGGTATGTGCTTTGCACCTTCGAAGTGCAAAGTACTTCTACAAGACTGGCAGGATTCCAATCCTGTACTCACCCTGGATGGTGAGCAGATAGACGTAGTCGAGAAGTTCGTGTATCTGGGTAGCTGCATAAGTGCTGGTGGGGGTGTGAGTGATGAGATCAATGCACGAATAGTGAAAGCCAGAGCGGCTTATGCCAATCTGGGCCACCTTTGGCGCCTTCGTGATGTTAGTCTGGCTGTAAAAGGCCGGATCTACAACGCTTCGATGAGAGCAGTTTTGCTCTATGCTTGTGAAACCTGGCCTCTCCGAGTTGAGGACGTTAGACGACTTTCTGTGTTCGATCATCGCTGTCTCCGAAGGATTGCTGACATTCAGTGGCAACACCAAGTCAGTAATGCAGAGGTTCGGCATCGTGTGTTCGGGCACAGAGATGATAACTCAATTGGTGTCACCATCTTGAAACACCGACTTCGGTGGCTTGGACATGTTCTCCGAATGTCGTCCCAGAGAATTCCACGTCGTGCATTATTTGCCGACTCTGGGACTGGTTGGAAGAAGCGGAGAGGTGGTCAGTGCATGACATGGTGTCGTGGCATGAAAGAAAGCTGCAAAGGACTGGCTTGTGTTGGTCCTTCACGACTCCCTGGCTGGGGTCCGAGAGATGGTGCTACACAGTGGCTAGAGACGTTATCAGATATGGCTCAGAATAGAAGCCAGTGGCGATCCTGCTGTAACCTTCTTTTACTTTCTTCATAAAAAGTGGTTGTATCTTCCTTAACTGAAAGATTTCTTCTGATTGTACCTCTTCGTCATTACTCTCTCTTTCTTTTGCGTTCCTTAGTTGTTTTTTTTCTTCTTTTTTTTTCTTTCTACTTCTCTTCGAATTCCCATTGTTTTGTGTGGCGCATATATATTGGCGCTCTCTTGTACCAATATTTATGTGTTCAAATAAATAAATAAATAAATAAATAAATAAATAAAACCAGGTTTTAAAGCTACTGTTCTTTAAAACCGATAACTTTAATAAGCAGTCTAAAGTAGAAGTTTATTGATATGCCTGACGAAACAAAACGAGAAACTTCTTTGATCAAAGACTAATATTAACCAAAGGATGATTTACGACAGAAGCCAAATCAGTGAGCTGTTATTTAGTGCCTGAATGTCGATTCACTGTGGTATTTGAAGGATCCGACCGTTGTTGTTACCTTGACGTGGTGGTCAGGCTTGAATCAGTCGAGCTATACTGGTTGGAACAGTCGTTTCTCAAGGTCCTACTATGCAAGACAGGTCGGTTGAAGAGCGGTAAGACTAAAAGCAGGTAACACAAGGTCTGAGGGCGAAGTCGTACTGCTGAATGTACAGAGGTGTGACGGCAGTAACGTGTTTCCTTCAGACAACCAGCATGACAGCGATGCTGCCTTCCCACAAGGAGGGGTGGGGTTAGAAAAAGTCGACCCTAAAAATGTACACATCGCCTTGTCCCACGGATATCCATCTCCGGCGGGAAGGTCTCAACAAGTACGGAACTAACAGGAAAGTTACTCATAAAAAGGTCATGTGTTACCGACCTCAAGCATTTGTACTTTGGGCACTGAGGTCACGCTTTCAGGTCACTAGAACCACCTCTAATCCAATCTCATTTTCAGGTGACTCCAGGAGGACCCTTACACGGTGTGGGCGACCGAGAAGTGATAACCGCCTTCATACTTCTAACAGCACTCAAAACCACTGTATCCATAATCAACTTCCCTCTTCAGGCTGGCTTCAGACCTGCTCATAGCTGCATCGACCAAATACTCACCATTCATCAGATTCTAGAACACAGGCATACTTATCGGCGTCCGACAATGGTGGTCTTTCTTGACTTAAAAGCAGCATTTGACTCCGTAGACCGCGAGATTCTGTGGCAGTGCCTGTCATTGTTAGGCGTACCTCAGAAGTACATAAATCTTGTGAAGGCTCTTTACTCGAGCACCACCAGTCGAGTCAGAGCTTATTGCGCACTGTCATCTGCTTTTGCAACCTCAAGTGGTTTCCGTCAAGGCTGTCCACTTTCTCCATTTTTGTTTAACTTTATCTTAAACCTACTGATGGAAATAACGTTCTCGTTTACTAGGTTTTCGGGCATTGATCTACCAGGAGGTCCACTTATCGACTTAGAATACCCAGATGACATAGTCCTGTTTGGTGAAGACGCTGATAAATTGCAGTCTTCTGGTAGCACTAAGCACCAATGCCAGAATGTTTGGAATGCGCTTCTCTGCCTCTAAATGCAAGCTGTTGCTTCAGGACTGGCCTCCGTCAACACCTGAACTAAGGATAGGGAGTGAAGTGGTCGAACGCGTTGACAACTTCACTTACCTTGGAAGTATGATCAGCCAAAATGGGTCGGTGTCTGACAAAATTTCAGCACGGATTCAAAAAGCTCGTTTGGCTTTTGCCAACTTACGTCACCAATAGCGAAGGCGAGATGTTCGTCTATCAATAAAAGGATGAGTATAGTGCGCGGAAGTTCGTTCTTTTCTAATTTACGTCTGCGAAGCGTGGCCATTAAGAGTAGAAGATACCCCTAAGTTACTAGTATTTGATCACAGATGCCTTAGAAATATTGCTTTCATCTGCTCGGATAATCGAGTACGTAATCATGAGGTTAGACGCAAGGTATAAGGGAATTATAGTAAATCAGTTGATGAGGTTTTAAATCTTCATCGACTGAGATAGTTGGGCCACGTGTTGCGTACACCTGAAAACGACGCGCAATGCTGACTAGTGGTGGGGATGGTTGGAAGGAAGTTAGGGGCGACCGAACCAAAACGTGTCATCAGGGCTTGAAATTACAAACTTCTGATCTGAGTCATGCTGGTAGATGAAGACTAGTTGGTTGGAGTCCGCGTGACTATCGTAACCAATGATCGGAGACTCTGAGTGGCATGGCTCAGAATCGATCACAATGGCGTCGGTGTATATACTCTCTGTTTTCCCTTAAACTATGAGATCAAAATCGCTTCATATCTTTCTTTCTTTCTGTACTGTGTCCTGATATGCAATCTTTCTTTTGTATATTACCATCACTGAATTAACTACTATGAATCCGGTGTTCATCTTGTTGTCTTAATGAGGTATGGCAACTTGGACCGATGCATATGTATGCCTGGTCCTACGTTGTAGCTGACTGACTGAAATTTGAATGAAATAATGATTCCTTTGTACTTCAGTGCTCGCTGACTACGGATTTCAAATACAATGGTTTCATTCGTACTCAACTACTTCTAACTGCCTTAAATTGAGCTATTTCGGGAATTCTTAGTACATTAATTCAAATACTTCTAATTATTATATTTACCCATACAAAATTATGAGTGCCGTCCGTCTAATCTCGTATATGAATTGAGTAGTGTGTTGTTTAGAAGTTGGGAGCTTACCTAAAAGCCATAAGATGTTTGGAGCTTTCTAACTAATTTGACTAGTGTACAGTACCCCAAGAAGTCAGTACTCCATCTAATATAACTTGATGATCCAAACATGATCACCACATCAAGGACAAAGCCACTATGGAGCTACTGATTACAATGTTCAACAACAGAACCGGCAACTCTGATTTCCTGTGTTATTCGTAGAGTTCTGAGTAACTTTCTGGATGTAGAATAAGTTTAATCAGATTGTACTCTTAAATACCGTGTTACGGTATTATGTCAGATTGTTTTTTTAACTGACAGTTTACTTAATAAATCTGATGATCACTTGAAGTATGAGGAATAAGTTACTGTACACCGGACAGAATATGTTCCGAATTGTATGATTTGATTTCCTAATAACATTGAATTGTGAAGAGCGCTGTGAGGCATGGTACAGCTTGTTTGGTTGACGAATACCACGAAAATATCCACACAAAACAATTTAACAAGATCCATGACTACTTAACTTGAGGGAAATTATTAAAATATGTACATAAAGTCCCAAATATTTACACTCCAATAAACTTAATGAGTCAGGTATTCGCGAAAAATGAATTACAGGCAAAAAATATCCGTATGGTGTCCCACATATGACTAGTAGTAACATGCTTATAAAAAGTACAGTAGAGAAATTGTCGTGGTTTGATTTAAAAGTAGAATAAACGAATATTGGTCTTTTTAAAGCAGTTTTACCATATCAAAAGTTGCCATTCTCTACCTAGGTAGTCAAACTTTTAGTCAAAATTATAAGATTCGGTGACTTTTAAACCCATGACTAAACAGATTGAGTACATTAACATTGGATAATTGAAAAGTGGCAATTACTAAGATCAGTTACTATTGCACATATATAGGATTTTTTATTAAGCACTCAAAACGCAATCTACTTTTTTCCTTAATGAACAGTTGATTATTGATCCAAGTGAACACAATAAGGTAGTAAACGAAAAAAGATCTGAGACTGAAAATCAAAGCGGAATAACGAATGTACTAATGTTGCAAATTACAGAAGTAATTTATTAAGCCATTCATTAAGCGAACTGTTTATCAAAAATAAATAAACGTGTAGCCCAGCCTCACAATAAAAGCTCAAACGCTTAAAGCACTTAGTTAAACACAAAAACGTTAGACATGACAGTTGAGGAGGAAACACAAAACTGTTTTACTCACTAGTCCAGCGGACATGTACGATGATTTTGCAGCAGAATTGATTATTTGGTCTATAGCCTGCATAGCGAAATTAAAAGTCATGAATTCACATATAGGCTTCAGGCCAGCCATAGCTGCTCCAACAGCAATTCCAGCAAACCCCATCTAAAATTTACAAGTGAAATAAGTGCCCTAGGTAAAACTCTATACCTCTGTTATCGGTGTATCCATGACACGACTATCTCCAAACATCTTCCAAAGACCTTTCGTAACCTGGCAAACTAAACTCTCGATGCCATGATATCATACTTTGTAGGCACCGTCATATTCAGCAACTTCCTCGCCTAGAATAATAACATCTTTATCCCGTTCCAGTTCTTCACGCATAGCAGAATTGAGGGCATCCCTAACAGTCATTTTAGTGCCAAAGACAGAGCTAGATGTCTTAAGTGACCGACTACATAGTTGTGGTCTGAAACTCTGGTGAGTTTAGTAGTGAACAGTGTGAAGACAAACCTTTGCGAACAGAAAAAAGCGTTGCGAAACAGACATGTAAAACAATTATTGTAGTTGGCGCCAGTGAGTGTGTGTACCCAAGCGACTATATAATTGGGTCATCCTGTTGGAGCCATATTTGCTTTAAAAGTTTTCTAGGTCATTAGGAAAATAACAGATCACTCATTCTGCTTTCGAGTTAGAAGTCTGATATCTTCTACAAGTGAGTTGTTGTATGTTTCTTGTTTCTCCTTTAATGAATTAATGAAACGAAAAATTACCATCCTAAACTTCAGTCATTCAAAATTGTTCAAATGTTTGTGGACGGAATATAAGAAGCTTTCGCTTAACAAGCTTCCGTGTCTAGTAGCAGTGTATCACTAATACATCCATGCAGAATCTTAGGTGTATTAACGATAATAAAAAAAGGAAATTGCTAAATCATAGTAAGATATTATCCTTATTCCTTAAAAATAGGTCGAGTTTCCTCTTAATGGAATTCTGGGAGGTCACTTAGAATAGCTCAGCCGGCAGCGAATTTCAGCATTTGACAACTATTAAGGAGACATTGTGTCTTCAGTCCGTTCTGCTATGTTTTGTCGCTAAATTCTGGGTGTTACCCCTTAGGCTTGTGTTGGAGCTAAACTAAAAGTGGGTTTTTAAAGGGATGTCCAGAAGTGTCAAGCATACTGTAAACCGTTAGGTCACCTCTAAGATGCCTATATTCTAATGAGTAAGGGTTAAGTGATTGAAGGCGCTCTTTGTAAGGCTTGAATTTGAGTCAACGGACCGATTCCGTGGCTTGCAGTTGGATATGCTCCAGAGTGTCCTTATCCTTTTGAAGTGAAGTAGGAAATACTATGTTTCCATGCTTTAAATAAGAACGAATAAAACTGCTGAAGATTATGTGGAAAGTTCTTCCGTCAAACTGGCCAAAAATGAGCTTCAATGTTACCAGTGCAAGGTTTGTTCGAAAAGCATTTTTGTCACAGTTAGCTTAAGACTTCAAATTGTAGTGTACCACCACTCTTAAATACTTTTCAACTTGGGATCCTTCTACAGGGGAGTTTCTCAAGTTGTAAATGTAGTCTGTAACATGTCTCAGATGGACTACTTTACACTTTGAAGTGTTAAAGGTAAGTCCGCTATCGTCCGCCCAACTTTGAAGTCGAGTCAGATTCTCCTGAAGTGCCTGTATATCGTCTTGGTTGCTTATCTCTCTCCAGAGTTTCACATCATCGGCAAAAAATAATAGTTCTGACGTTACCTGTTAAGGAAGATCATTTATGTAGATCAAGAAGAGAAGAGGTCCTACTACTGAGCCCTGGGGGACTCCACTAGGACATTCCATAGCCTGAGATAAAGTGAAACTAAACCTGTCCATCTGATCTATATTAAAAGGTGAAGAGTTGTGTTAAAATCAGTACCCCGAACTCCATATGTTCCACGCATCCTGTATTAAATACCAGGACACCCTACAAGTAACCGCCTGGTGTCTCCGTAGCTCTTGTTAAAAATAAGCATTTATGTCAATTTGCTCACTGAAACTAGACCTAACAGTCGAAACACCCTTTCAAAACTTCTATATGGCAAATCGCTGGACCACATGGCAAAGTGGTTGTATTACCAAAGAGTTGAGTTGTTGATGAACAACAATTGAGGCCTATTTCTGTGTGGAAATTTTCTGTTTTTGAAGTCTCCTAACAGAATAAATTTGAATTGAACCACTTCTAGCAAACAGAATCACAATTAATTAACTTGGCGACTTAGACAGTCGCGTATGAGTCATTTTTAAGTTTAAACGAAACAATAGCGCATGGCTAAACGAATTTCCAATTTAACGAGACCCAAAGAGGATTATTTGCCCAGAGTTCAGAACTCAAGCTGGTGATGAGGTTACACTAAACGTCGAATTTACAACTGGAAACCTTTGATAGCTGTCTTTGTCTGTTTTAGTACATTATTATAGTGAACGTTCAGTATTTATGAATATATTGATGCTGTTCAAACTCTGTTTCGGGGATATCAATACATTTTACTTTGTTTACATTTCATGGTAAATCCTCAGCCCACAAATCTTAACCATTTTACACCAATATATGATGACGAAAGTATATTTCCGACAAAACAGGTACAAACCATTTTTACAAGGGTAATTAATATGATACAGTGAGAATTTCACTAAATGCTCAAAGATAAGGTGGATACCCAACAGGCTTGTTAAAATGCAACATCAGTAAATCAGAAATGGTTAGCTTGAGTGTGTTCAATGGAACTTACCTGCCAAATATTTGTGTAATGAAACTAGTTAGTAAGTATTCAGTTGTTATAAAGTAGCGAATGGAAAGCGTTTTCTATAAGCTGTGACCCTGACAAATGCTTTTGTATGGTCTATGTATCAGGTGTGGAAAGAAGCTTTGTGGGTGTACACTAAAAATTAGGTACTGTAAAGAAAAAAAGAAAGGAGAACAACTAGGTGATTAGATACAAACCTCAACAACGCTTCACTGTTTGTAGAAAAGCAGAAAAAGTCATAGACAGACAGTAGATAAAACTAATACTAGCGTTTCTCACAAAAATGGGTCCTAATTCGATAGTTTTCAAATAAGGGAATATAGTGATAAAGGGCGGTCCATTGTAATGTGTATCAGGATGGACTATACTATGACGTAAAAGCTGAAATTGTAAGCTGAAGGGCCACTCTTTAAAGTCGTAGGCTCAACAAAGGCGAGTATAGCTTGTAGTAATGTGGAGACATGACTGACAAGCTTATTTTGTAAATAGTTTTCAATGTTATTTCTATTTGTTTTGTCAATTTTTCATTGTATGTACATTTATCATTAAATGACTGTACGTGTTGTTTTAGTCAATGACCTTGAACACTTTTTCCGGCCGTAATTCGAACATAGCGTGACATATTCTTACTGGCTAACAAATACATCACTACTCACACATCCCTCGTTCTATTCCCATTTGTGATTGAATTAGCTGAATTCTAAATCAAATATTATCATTATTTATAGACTGTAATTGGAACACATCACTTTCTACGTTGGATTATATCACCAGAGAGTTCGCCAACCTGTTTGGAATTATCAAGCATTTATAATTGTGGATTTACATTACCAGACCGAATCAGAACACGCAGCGTTTGATCAATTTAAGTAACGTCCCTAATTTTTATCGTATTTGTAACAATTAACTGTATATATATCAATATTACTATTGATCCTTAGTAACTTTGTTTATAATTTTTTGCGTTCATATTTGCCTGGTCCACCACAATTATTTGGTGAGCCTCGATTTTTCTTATAGACATTTACTATATATATATCTACATAATTTTTTTATTATTATTAATCGGCACGACACCATATTTTTGTTTTTGTCATTATGAACTCTCCGGGTAAACTTATTGATATTGATAGTTCTCCAACCAACCTTCTAAACTATCCACAACCAGAGGATAATGTTTTAAACTCAATCAACGCTATCGCGGAACTAAGATTACCAACGTACGGTGTTAATAATCCCAGGATCTGGTTTGCTCAAGTAGAGGCACTATTTTTGGCGAGAGGTATACGTTCACAAGCGACTAAATATGCCCACGTCGTCGGTGCACTACCTATTGAAGTAGCAACGGAAGTTGGCGACCTTATTGACAACGTACCAGAAACTGACCCTTATGACAAGATAAAAGCTGCAGTAATCCAACGCACATCACTGTCAGACGAAAAACGTTTACAACAACTGCTTACCTCGTGTGAGCTAGGGGATAAGAGACCTTCACAGTTACTCCGACACATGCGACAGCTCGCCGGCCCTTACAAATTAGACGAGACGCTGCTTAAACAGATGTGGTCACAAAGGTTACCTCATAGCGTCAGACAAATTCTCAGTGTATCAGGAGCCTCTGTCAGTCTTGATGATTTAGCAGACATGGCCGATAGGATGATAGAAATATATCCCGATAGTCGGGGAATTTACGCAGTACAACCCGCCAGTAGAGATGCCATGAACCCTATCCTTGACATGCAGCATCAAATGGCACACTTGACACGTCAGTTAGCATCACTGCAGGCGACTGTCTCCACCATCCGTTCTCGATGCCCCAGATCTAGGTCCAGAAGGAGATCATTATCCAGACATCGTCATTGGTCACCTAAGCGGGCAGCTGGGATGTGTTGGTATCATTCGAATTACGGCGAGAAAGCACGTCGTTGCACAAAACCGTGCAACTTCACTACAAGCAAGTCAGACCAACAGGGAAACGAAGTGGCCAGACAGTAGTAGCGGCAGCTGTTACTGGCCAACATGTCAGCCGCCTTTTCCACATCAGGGATCGTATTTCTGGCTCAGACTTTTTAGTCGATACGGGAGCAGAAATCAGCATCATCCCACTTTATCTCTCACGCAGACAACATGCGTTGAGCACAAAATTGTCCTTGGTAGCGGCTAACGAATCAGTTATCAAAACTTATGGAGAACAATCTCTTATATTAGATCTCGGGCTCCGTAGACGATTCACATGGGTATTCATAGTTGCTGAAGTCAAACGACCCATTCTCGGAGCCGATTTTCTTAGTGCGTACAACCTTTTAGTTGATATGACTAACAAGAGATTAGTCGACACAAACACACGTTTACAAGTAAATTGTACACTTTCCAACGACAACGAGACCCATGGTGTTCGTATAATGAAACCTGTGAACAATATCTTCAACGACATTCTAAAAGAATACCAGTGCATTATGAAATCAGATTACCAGAAGGAAGGTAACCCACAACTGGTACAACACCATATCACTACCACCGGACCACCTATTAGCGCCAGGGCGAGAAGATTACCACCAAGCAAGTTGCAAGTAGCGAAAAGAGAATTCGAACACATGATGCAACTTGGAATTATCAGACCATCCAAC